ATTCCACTAGAGCCTTGGAACGGCGAATGAGAGAGAAACACGACTGATTGTCAAGTTACTGTCGGCAATCTCTATTCCTTGATTGTCCATGTGTTCTTCATGCCAACGACAGGAGATTCGTGAGATTGAGATGGCCATCGACCCTATTAGTAGAAATTGAACTGAATGTCTAGTTAGAGCAGAGTTTCCTAATATATTTCCTCGTTACCTTCAAAAAGAGGATATGCTTGGACGGTCGATAACCACTGCCTCTGGGTAGGGTAATGGAAAGGCCGATGTCATCCGCATCTCACGATTCTTCTCAGACTCCCGGCAGACATTCCCCGTCGGCCGTCTCTTATATTGTCTTGGATCTACCAGGTACCTTACCGTCACTCAAATTTGATCTTTTGTCAAGGATTCAATCTACGTTGTACAATCTATGCCCGATCTATTGGAAAACAAGTGTCTTCTATCACTCCGTTTATTAGCAATCGGGTCTGTTTTCGTCTAACCTAGACATGGCACTTACATTCCAATTTGAACACTGTATCTATTGTAGGAGCTGTCCTCGAATCTACAGGAGAATTTATGGCATATATTCTCCCTCTGGCCTCCATGGAGTCGGATATTATTGCAAATTTGCACCTGACTTCGGCCTGCCAGCAATATATTGCTGGTTCTATCCTCGGACTTGAGAACTTAGCATTTAGCCCTCTTCACATAATTTACTGAATCTAACATCATATCCACATAGATGTATTTAAATCTGTCCTTTTAGATTTGTCTCCTACATGTGTCCTTTCAATCTCTTGAATCTGGTGCTGAATTAGCAACTGCATCTGCCTAATACTATAGTTTACTGTCTAAAACAATATATATCGGCATGCATCATTCATTTTCACCAAAGGGAATCCTCGCCTATCATAACCTCTTAAGTCCTACCCTCGGATCTATCCTTAGAACCGCACTTACATTGCTCTCTGCCATTTCCGGAATTTGTCCCGGGTTATCATTTTCAACTTATTGCGAGATTTACTGCTGGATCTACAGTTCGATTATGCTAAATTCTAGTTATATCTGCGTATCACTCAACCTACAGCCAATATGCCGGTAGGGAAATATGGGACTTTCTTTTATTTGACTTCTTCACTTGTCGAGGTAACGTACGGCAGACCGACTTCAAACTTCAGTACGTCCGTCGACCAGGAATTAGCAAAACATACCCCGGACGAATGAGCAGCCAGAAGCTTTACGGATATCAAGTCTAGGTGGTTAGCACATCACCAGATACGCGATGAGTGGCTGGGATCACTGCTTATTTATCCTTAAATTTATGCTTTTCACTTTCTACTACAGTGTATATCGCGTGCGGGGAATGGAATTCATTTATTAGGCTTAGATTTATGCAAAGTCCCTGATCACAGTCTATTCTTAATTAATATGGACTTTGCTCCGAACGAGGCCCCAGAGCCGCCAGTTGTATGCCTTGGGCTTTGCGTGATATGGTTGACCCGAGTGACGCCTCCCGGGAAACCTAAAAGGGTAAGTAGCTCAAGTGGATTCGCCCACTTCTCCACAATACCTTATCGAGGTTGTTTCTTCCCCAGAACGAGACATGACTAAGACCTCTGAAGGTCACAAGGTTAGATTGCGTTCTGCATAAATGGGGATGAGCTTTGTAGATGTTCCATGCTGCAGATCTGAGTTGTGTAGTAAATGGGTTTGGACAGTACAACTGACAGGAATTACGCTCTTGAAACAGGCTTAAGCGTATATAGTTCTGGACAGCAATGCCGACTTGGATTTAGACTCACAAAAAAGTTGGTGAAATGCATCATCCTAGTCTAAATTCAAAATTTGGAAGTCATGGCAGATAAACAACAAGGATTGACCAATAACGAACCCACGGCATAGGAGGTCCAGGAACCATCTCCTGCCACCTGTCCATCACACTTGAAACATGATCACTCTCTTCTCCTGCATTCTAGTCTCTAATTAGAGTACTATTTTGATGAATCGCCTAAATCGCTAATAAACCATCCCAGGGACGATCGCCCTGGAGTCCGAAACCCGTGACCACCATCTGACCCAGTGCATGTCTCCCCATAGAATCTTCTGCTGCATTGGTTCTCCTTTCCAGTACTGTCCTGTGACCCAGACAGCAAAAGCTGCCCCATCCCCAGCGTTCTCGACCCAAATATCCTTAGAAAACATGGCGTTTGCTTCCCCGGCATCTTAAGTCATCTGGACCCGTCGGGTTGGTCGCCCGGATTACTCCATTAGGCAATCCGAGTCTTCGAATGGTGCCACGATCAAGAGTCTTCCAGTCACTCTGTTGTGGTCATTTAGCCTGTAGAAGTGAAACCAGGTTGTCATGTTTGGGGAGGATGAGTATTGTATCATCTCTCCATCATGGCTTTATCATCAGTCTGGTTTTTGCCTGGCTTATTCCGTTTGAGTTTCTCAATGTTTCTCAATTCCTATTCCTCCGTACGGACCGCCAAGATATATACCTTAGTTGCAATAACCCGTAGATAAGATACAACTGTTGATGTCCTTCATGTCAGGACTCACGAATGGAAGATCAAAACGTCCAACATGCGTACCATGGCTGTACAGAGCGTCATAAACTGTCAGTCAAAATAAAATCCACCTACAATAGATAACCTAGTTCATGCTACGGACATCAAGCAAATGACCAATTGGTGGAGCGGCAACGGCTCCTCTATCCCACTCATAATTGCATTATTGCCCCCGCTGGGTCTGGACCAAATCCATTCTTCCTGCGACCAGACTCCCTCGCTAGCTTTCTTGTTGGCATTCTCTCCAAGTAACAATCATGCTTGCCTCTTTTGGACGCTCATCCAAATTTCGACTGCTCACATGAGCTCTTTGGTTTGAGTGTACTATTGTCGTAGTACGACCCCCCTATTTCTAGATTCGTTCATCCGTAGGTTCACGATCGTGAAGTATTTAAGGTGCCGGGTGGCTGCTTGTTAGATCAACCTGGCTTCGATTGTATTCTATCCAGCGTCTATTCCTCTTTCTCTCTGCGGTAACCAAGTCAATTGAACGTCTACAACATCACAACTCTACTTTCTCGCACTTCGATTACTGCTCGACTACACAATCTACTCTAATCATAATGTCTGTCTCCATTACTGCCGATACTCCTGTGGCTCCTGCCACCAAGCAGGCAGACGTCTCTCTGGGCTCCAATGTTAGAATGCCAGAATTCAGTCTGGCTGGCAAGGTCGTCCTTGTCTCTGGTGCTGCTCGTGGTCTTGGTTTAACCCAGGCCGAAGCGCTTTTGGAGGCCGGCGCCAAAGTGTACGGATTGGATCGTCTGGAGGAGCCAGTGAGTAACCTTGGTTCTACAACCTTGTTCGTGGCGCATCTTGTCTAACCTTGCTGGATGGTGATAGTCCTCCGAGTTCTTCGAGATTCAGAAGCGAGCCAAGGAGGAGCTGGGAACGGAGTTACACTACCGTCGCATTGACGTGCGCGACACGGAACTGTTGACCAGCACCGTTGAGCAAATCGCCAATGTCGAGGGCCGGATGGACGGCCTGATTGCTGCAGCAGGAATCCAACAGGAAACCTCGGCTCTGGAGTACACGGCCAAGGATGCGAACACCATGTTTGAGGTCAACGTGACGGGTGTGTTTATGACTGCCCAGGCAGTGGCCAAGCAGATGATTCGCTTTGGTAATGGTGGTAGCATTGCACTAATTGCCAGCATGAGTGGTACTGTCGCGAATCGGGTACGTTCCCATCAGTTCCTTTCCAGAGTGGGCAACGGGGATCCCCGGATTTCTTCCCTTCCCCGCTTCTGACTTATGTCACCCTTGGCCGTCAAAAATTCATTGCATGGCCTTACAGTTCTCAACCGAACTAAATCAATGCTAACTTGCCTAGGGTCTCATTTGTCCGGCGTACAATGCCAGCAAGGCCGCTGTTATCCAGCTTGGTCGCAATCTGGCCATGGAGTGGGGTCAATATGGCATTCGCGTCAACACCATCTCGCCGGGCTACATTGTCACAAAAATGGTCGAAGATTTGTTCGTCCAGTTCCCGGAGCGCCGGGAAGAATGGCCCAAACACAACATGCTCGGCCGTCTGTCTACCCCTAACGAATACCGGGGTGCCGCAGTCTTTCTCTTGAGTGACGCCAGCAGTTTCATGACAGGAAGCGATCTGCGCATCGACGGTGGCCACTGTGCGTGGTAAACATTTGTTCGATGCTTTACTTTTTTATTCTATTTTATTTTTCTTCCGGACGATCTTTGTTTCTTGAATGCTATTGCATGGCGTTTTGTATTGGAAGCAAGCGTGATCTGATTCAAGTTCAACGTTCTCGTCATGACGTGCCGTCTGCAGTCTCTCCAGACTTCGCATCGAGGGAGGGGAAAAGATGATCGGATAATGTATGGTTTACTTAGAACATTCGAGAGCTGCGACCAGCTAATGCATGGATGGATCATTCAATCATTCAATCATTCGATCATTCGATCCCTGGGTTTTGACAACCAACTGTACTCGAATTCCTGGCTGATCATCGTGGCCAACAGGGAATACCAGCAACTAGAAAGTAAGTTGCCTAAAGCCCGCGTCAGTAAGGTATTCTTTAGTATGAGATCTGGGCCATCTGGCCGTACAATTCTATCACATCACTCTTGACCCACAGAAGCATTTATGGACGAGTACCGGAGCAACTCCGTTCGGGCTTTTTTTCCGTCTTCTGACACGCTCGAGAACGAGACTCTGTCCACCCCGCAGGTCAAATAACTTACCTATGTACATCCCGAAACAATGCCATGGCTCACGTTACCTTCCTTTCCATAATGTCAAATCGCCCATGATATCAGCTCTGAGATACGCACATGGACTAACTAAGGAACATGAAACGAAGTACCCAACAGTGGACTACCTACAATGAAAGGATGCTCGAATCACTGATTGAATTGATGAAAACTAATTATATACATGAATAATATATATATTTGTTAATAATAAGCTCACTCGGAGCTGGGCTTTTCGCCCTCTTCGGCCGGCTCCACCTCCTTCTCCCCCTCCTCCTTCTCCTTCTTCTCCTCCTTTCCCTTGGCCTTATCAGGCCGCTTTCTCCTTCTTGGCTTCTTGCCAGGCGGGGGGCCGTCGCCTGCAGATAGGGGGTGAGCGGATATGGTGATGGAATGTCCATCACCGTTGATGGTGATGTTATTCACCACCGTTGGTGGCTGGCGGCGGCGGGCTGCTGGCTGGCGGCGGGAGGCAGGGCGACAGGGCTTATCAGCCGGGTGCCGGCGCCCGCAAGTCCCACACAGGGGCCAGCAGTCCCCTGTGTGGGACTTGCCACAGATGTGGCAAAGTTTGCGCTCTATATCCAGGTTTAGAATTGACACTCTTCAGATGCTTCTTCATGAAGGTTGAATCAATGTACTGACTGTTGGTGGCGGGGCCAGGCGGGTCAGCGGTGGGAGGAGGAGGAGCGGTGGCCGCGGCGGCGGCAGTGGTGTCGTTTGTCCTATACTGATGTTAGAGATACATTGATTGAGTCCAACGATTCACTATTGGTGTGTACTCACATTGTGAAGAAAGAAAAAAATCTCTTGAGAAATTTTGATTTACAACAGGAAGATAACATTGGGGGGTCTACGACGCTTTTTTATTACTTACGATCATGGACACTAGGAAAGGGCTACGGCCAGCACACTTGCTACAGTGATGCTCTACTCTACGAAGTGGGAAAGTGATAGCTGATATTCAGCAGGAAACACCCGCACCTCGGTCAGCTCATAGTCGATACTACCTCGCGTGAGGAGGACAGCTCCGGGAAAATGAGAAGAGCCATTGACTGAAGCTCCATCGAGACCTTGTCCATATCATTGAGCGCATTGGGCGACTGCACTATGCACTATCCAATCTGACAGTAGTCCATCTCTTACCCACTTAGCAAGGTAGGCCCATTCAGGGCCGTTTTGATTGAGAAGTATAAGTAGAGAGCAAGCCGCTGCAACACATTCAGGATCTACTTTGGCGCATAAGTTTCTAACCTTACCAGCAGGACTGACATCCACCCAAATCGTATCATCAAGTCTCGATTATGACATCAAGTATGGCTCAGGGAGTGATAGGGATAAACCTGAATCCAGCACTGTTCTAGGATGACCTTCCGTTGGTATAGTTATACTGTGAAATTATCTCAATAGCTAGATGTAAGATCAGCGGCACGGAACAGTCACCATATTCAACTTCCCAAGTTAGAACAGCACTTAGCTCCCGCCCAGCAGTGCCGTCGGAATATTGCGCCTCTGCTTTAACATGAACGACTCATCAGACCCGGCCCAGGCACTCCTGCTCAGCCCGGCGTACCAGCCTCAATGTTTCACAGTGCATCTCACGCGGAAAACTGACCATGTGAAGAAATAGCTGAGATGAATGCTCGAGCTCTTCAATCCGCTACGGTCAAGATCAGGAGTTGCAGGAACGATTAAGCCCAGCATCTTGTCTACGGGTATGTATGTGATTGAGACGATATGAACAAACGCAAGACCTCTGCCACGAAGCCGAAGCATATCCGCAACGCACCGTCAAATAGCATCAAAATCAGATCACTAGGCTAAGGTGTATTTATTATCATTCAACAAGCTAGCAGTTGTATTCAAACAACCTACGTCTCATTTTGACAAGATCAAAATCCAATCTTGCTAGACTAAGGAAGTCCGGACGAGGTACTGTAGTCCTTGGCCCTTGGCGGGGGGAGGGGGGCGAGATGTGGCAGCGCCTGCAGAGCATCACCATCAAACATGTCGTTATTAACTATATTTGGATTCAAGCCCACCTCTTTCCTTCTTCGCCATCTTTGCTTTCTTGTGACCTTATCTGGTCTCGTTCTTCTTCTTGATTTTTGGCGGCCGGGGGAGAGGGAGCGGAGGAGTTGGTGAGGGCCCAGCGGGCGTAAGGATAAGCAGGGGGGTTGTTTACATTATAAATTGTTGAGATACTATACCACTAGGCTGGTGAGCAGAATACAGGTCAGCCAACCCCTGCCACCAACGGGTCCGGCAGCGCCGGGCGCTTGGAGATGAGCAGAATACAGGTGAGTACACGGTCTGGGCGACCTTTTTGGTCAAGTCACAAGTGGTATTAGTTGTTGACATAAAACAGCAAGGTGCAGGCCGCATTTATTGAGTGCACTCAGACAACTGAGCTAAAAGGGTGTCAAGACATTTCTAGTTGGTAGACATGATAGTGCAGCAGATATTCAACGGCATTCCCCACAGAAGGGTCAGCAAATCGCCAGTGTGGTAATTGGATTACGGCCATTCGAGCCCTCCTGGCCGACTTGTTTGGTCTCTTCCTGCGTCTCCATTTCGGCTTGTCCCGCCTCTCGTTCGCAACAGTGGCGGTGCCGCCGCTCAAGTATCAAATATGATTTCCTCCCGCAGGTAGTCCCATGGCGGGAGCTGCGTCACTCCTGCGGCCAGGTCAAGTAGTAGCAGTGGTAGTAGTGTGCCTCACTGTTGCAGAAAAGGACTGGATGCCAGATAAGTGAATAAATAAGCAGCTTACAATATACATCTAAGTGATAGCACAGCTGATGCGACAAACCAAGACATCCTTTTGTCTGACCTCGTGACCCAATGCAGAAGTAGCGAGTGAATGAGATTCAACCAATATATGTGAGTGACTTCCACCCCAGGCCTGTCTGATAAGATACTTATTTACCACAACACTTAATAGCGACCATACTCCCTCATCTCACCCACTCAATACTCAAGAGTGTCTCCTTCTTTCTCCCCTTCCAACTATCACTCCTGACCTTAACGTTTTACTTATGACCTTTGATTATAAATCTTCTGTCCTTACCTAACAAGCTCCTACTAGAGACAGCAAAGCACCTCCAGAATTAAGCTTAGCTTAACATATTCACCTGCACAAACCGATTTGTCTACAGCATCATAAACCCATTCATGCACCACTACAACACAGATTACCACCAGCACACCAGTCTTGCCTTAGTGCTTACCATAGTCTTGAAAATATCATCAGAAGATCAGTCACTGCGAAGCCAAGCGATATCAACACAAAAAATTAGCTCAATATACCAGTCTCCGGCGAATCGTTCCACACTCCCCTTTGCTACGCAGTAGGACAGAGGATAAATGAGCTTCTACTCAGCATGTACGGTGCTAATATTGAACAGCACTGTTACGACCTGGGTTGTACATATGGGAATGCTGGAGCTGATCAAACTACTTGTTGGCAAAGGCATGAACATCCATGCAGGGAACGGAGCCGGAGCCAGACCAATTCACCATGCTGCTTGGTCTGGTAATGTGGAATGTATGGCGTTTCTTATCCAAGAAGGCGCTGATGTTCATCAAACCGCACCGTTTATTCTTCCTTTGGACAGTTATCAACTTCAGCTGCATGGTTAATTCATGGGATGCACTGCGAGCCAATAAGCAGCCATCTCAACGACTATCGAAATAGGTCGATCATCGAGCCATAAGCATGGATGGCTTAGTTCCTTGCCTAATCTACATAAATCCCAAATTAACGGGGCAATGCTCTTCGTGGCGTCCTTATTAGGTTGTGGATGATCCCAGGTCCGCTTTTGACCCATGATGTTTTGGTCAATGCACACCAATAGCTGAATCTGATTTCTAGTGTATATTAATTGCATTTTGCCTGGAATGGCTATCAAACATGGGCTTCATAGACTCAATAACCGGTCTGGAACAGATCTACAGAGGTCGGAGCGGACAGCGATCGGCCGGGTGACCGGTCTGACTGGGGCAACGTGGACACGGGCGGACATCTGTTGTTATTAGTATGCAACATTGATAGGGAGTAAAAGATTCAGTGTACCATCTGCTGGTTGGGTTTTGTACTTTTCTGTACTCAGTGAGAAAAGAGGTCGATGATAGATCCGGGGTTCGGGGGAGTAAGGAAGGGGAGGGTGGGATGATGCACAAAGCTGTTTCTCGCCAGTAAGGTCTCACCATGAACTGACTTATACCATTTCAGAATCCCCGATCCATCCTCCTGAATGTCCCCAGTACGAATCATCGACGTACCTTCCGATACTCCCTATTGCCCGTTATTCCATGGTGGGATCGGTGGGCCTGCTCTATATTCGCAGAGGTATCGAACAGATCCAGAAGAGCTTTCGTCACTTCAATATGCATGGTGGTAGTCCAGCTTAAGGTCAGATCAAAGACACCAGCATTACCACTTGATGATCGGGGAAAGGCCAAGAGCGTTTCTGGCCATGTTGGTCACCACCTCCTCAGTACTAGCATCAGTACAATGACAGAAAAGGGGAGTGATCAAAACATACAGGCTTGCGGCGCAGCATTGCCTGCACAGTGTTAATGTGTTATTTTTAATAACGCAGTTAATGAAGAAGGGATGTGTGTCATTTGAACCCTAATTTGCTGCCGCGGTTCTCAAGCATAAGATGCACCAATAGGTACCACGCAACACTGTCAGTGGGGTTCAGCCTGGGGTGAGCGTGGTCATTTAGCTTGACGCTATGTACTCACCTTGTAGGATAGCATTCAAAAAGGCACCTAAAAGTGGCTTTATTGAGAAATATGCGTTACTACTATAATTACTAGTGTGGATGAAAAGTAATTAATACCTAGACAGGAGTCACAGGCCGAGTGAAGACAGGGGAACTGTGAGAGCTACAGAAGCTTCCATCATTCACTCAACCACAGGGAGTTGCGCATTCACATAACAAAAAGGCAACAATGCTCTCCATTTCAGGTATACTTGCTTACCTTATGAAGCAACGATCTTCTACTCTAAGAAAATAAAATGCTGACATTTGAGCAACACAGATAGGAGCAGCCTATTTGGTTAAGTATAGAGCGGAGCAGGTCGCTGCAATATGTTTGGCATCTACACAGGCACGCAACCGTAGTCTCAAGTCTATGTTTTCCCGGAATCTCGAAAGTCTAAGGTCGATGAGTTCAAAAGTCGTAGAACTGAGAGCATCGGATCGTAATACATATGTCTGAGTTGACATCATTTTGACTCATGGATACGTGGGGGTATATATTTATGAGCTCCCTACTTACATGTCATGTTCACAATTCAATTCCTTCCTCTGTTAAAAGCTGTTACTTGTGGTCCCCTCGGCCATGACTCGTCGTGATATGAGTGAAGAGGCCCTGAAGGCCAAACGATCCGCCATTATCAACCACCTTCAGCAGCTCCGGGGAATCCTCGAAAGAGTTAATCCTCCCAACTTTGGGATTGACGAGCTCTGTGAGCTAGGTTTGAAACCCGTAAGAGTTGAATTAACGCCGGATAAGGAGCTTTTAGAATTTGAACCATGTTTCTTCCTGCCGCAGCCTACATCTGTGTTGTTGGAGCATCCGTTTAGTCCGGAAGAGAGAGAATATGATATTGAGCATGGGGAAACCTATGCGACAATCCTAGATGATATCCTTGAATGGTACCCAAATACGGAAAACCCAGAGGAAAAAGCGCGAGAGCAATACGAGCGAGCTCAAGCTATACTTCGGGAGGACGGTCCTGATTGGCTCTCAAACCTAGAACATCTTGAGGATCACATTGGCTCTCATCTGGGCGCCTGGCGCTCTGGATTTCATACGTCCCGCGGGGAAGGATTTCTGGAAGATCTTACGCCACTTAAGTTCTGCTGGGATCGGTTTTCAGAAATCGAGGGCTATGTACCCCGTGTTAGGATCGACCCAGGGGGCAAGATCGGTAAGGGCTACTGGACCTCATGTCATGTCTTCATCGACAAATCTGCTGGGATGCCTCACACAATTATCTGTTTCCACGTTGAATACTGTGGGAACGACACGAGCCTCACCATGGCTGAAGTCTATGGGCTGCTCCATCACATGTATCAGTGGTATACTCTCCGAGAATTTCGACAGCATGCGATAGGTCCCGTGAGTCTACGTCTCTTCTTTGCTGGACACGGGCTTTTCTAACTGTACAGACAGATGTTGGCCATATCGTATATGTATCCTAAACATGCGAGGATTATTCAAGCTCATCACGATGGGGAAAAGTTGGTGTTGCAGTACTCCCCTCTCATGAGTTTCGAAAATAGAGAAACAGCACCGACGTCACTGTTTGTGCGTTACCTATCTAGCCTGCCTATTGGGCTTACCTCAAATACTCTCTGTATCAGGTGAGGTAAGGTAGAATGGCAGACAGGTTTTCGGACCTTACTCCGGCTTCACTGATCTATCGAATTGCTCCTGCCGATGTTGCTTGACAGCCTGATGTTTCTTTCTTCTTGCTTTGCGTTAGGATTCCGGGACTGGAAGGTCTCTATTCGGCAACATGTATGTAGTTAACGCACCTTCCTTCAGTTAGGAGTTTCCTGAAGACTCGTGTGATGGAGAGCGTTTCATTGCCCTCGAATATCGCTGGCCTTGATTCTCTCCTCCATGAACCCGCAATTCTGGCAGCACACGATACGTTTCTACAATAGACTCCAAGTTCCCATTTTTTTTTCGAAAAGAATTCATTGAGATTCGCCTTCTTAGAAACGATCATGCCCGAATCCACGTTCATCCCAAGAGACGAAAAGCACTGGCGGCTTTTAGCAAAGGCCCACGGAGCAATAAATGAGACAGTCAACACGATCCAAGTGATGCAGTCTGGTTCCTCGGTCACAGTCCAGCAATTCCTTTCATTCCACGTTCTTTGGCCTCCACGTACCAAGCTAAATAACATCGATAAGCTCCAGGTACCGATCAAAAAGGTCGACCTTGAGAACATGGCGAAGGCCTTCAAAACGAATAAACCGTTCTCCCGCAACTTCGAAGCCTACCTGCAGTCAATCAAAGACGAGAGTGATACTTCGGGTAAATTGGGAGTATTTCAGGGTACCAGAAAGTGCCAATTGGAAGCTGACCAAAGAATCCCAAAAGGAGACGCAGGAGAAATGTCGACTAGCGTCAGGATGAGCCGAACGCCCGACCCAGAATCCCAAGAGGGCCGCACACCCGCCGAAAGCATCACAGCAACATCTGAATCCAATGCGACACCAGCGGCTGAGCAGGAGTGGCTGCAGTCATTCGTTCAGACCCCCGACGAGCAATGTGTCAACATGGCGCTGATATCATTTCTCGACGCGGTAAGCCTGAATCTCCCCGACTACAAGTGTAAGTGGGGTATAGCACGTCTCGCATTCAAGGTCGATTTCCATCGAGCCAGCATGGAGGCCCGCACAGATGGCTATCTGTACGGCCCCACGGGAGGCGACGAAGCATTCGCCATCGTGGAAACCAAGGCCCATCAACGGAAAAAGACCACAAAGACAGGCGGCCAAGTATACATGCAAGAGTCCGCTGAGATGGTCGCTTGGATACTCAAGGATGAGAGCGAAGAACGCAAAGTGCCCCTTGACAACCAGTAAGACTTGACTTCCATTCGGCATTGTCAGCTGGATACTTATACTCTGTGTCATTAAGACGCCTTCTAGTCGCCCAAGATCGAGAGGAGATCTACCTTGTCTGGGCATCATACGATGCATCCTATGTCGACTACCTCGAAGGAAAGCCTACCTCCGGCAATGTTTTTATGACAATGAACGAGATCGGCCCCTTCAAGACTCAAGATGACGCTCACATGAGACAACTTGCGGAATACATCGGATGTTTCTGTAGTCAGATCACCGCCCGTATTGAAAGAAGCTCACAAACGTAAGTCAAACCTTTTGCCCCTAGCACGAGAGTCATCCGTGCGAAAGCAATCTGCATGCATGCCATGCAAAAGCAGTAGATCTAAACCGCTGACCTCGTTCTGCGAGGGATGCGGGGAGGAACCTGCCATCCAAAAGCAGTAGATCTAAACCACTGAACTCGTTCTGCGAGGGAGCGGGGAGGAACCTGCCATCCAAAAGCAGTAGATCTAAACCGCTGAACTCGTTCTGCGAGGGATGTGGGGAGGAACCTGTCCTTCAGTGACGAGCTCACACCTCATCGTGGTGCTGGAGTCTAGTAACCTGTGCCCTCAAAAGTACAGGCGAAGCTAAGATGAGCTCTTTTCTCTCGTTACAACTTATCCTTTCCTTGATGTCTTTTATATATAGCGCCCTATTACAGGATTAATAAGGGTGTCTCTTTCACTTTGATAGTAGAAGTCAGAGATGCTCACCTTTACTTGCTGCTGCCCTTTCCGATATGTATGATGGAGTCGATGTAGGCGCTATAGCAGATGCTGTCCGGAATTGTCCCTAGAGTGTCTGTCAGCCTGAAGATAGTCCTGCGAATTGCAGTCGAATAGCACCCACACACGTTTCCCCTGTAATCCTCCAACATTGGTCTTCCTGGTCGCTAAGATCTTTAGTAGGGATTCCTGTTTCGTGCCAGAATCTCACGTCTTGTTCTGCTCTGGAGTTCGTGATTGACGCGGAGACCGGAGACATGTCCATACGGAGTATGTATTAATTTGACCGTTTTCAGCGTGTGCTGAGAGCTCAGAATGCATGTCTAGCACCGCTACCTTGGCCGAGAGCACTTCTTAATCAAGGAATTCGGGTCGGTGTTCTGTGTAAGCTTCTGAGAAGAATATTAAACCTCGGTAGAACCACAGATAAGGCATGCTTCTGTCTGCAAGCTAAGCTGTTGATCTTCGCTTCCTCGTCTGCCCATAGTGGCAGGAAGATGAGAACTTGCGAATGACCCTGGTTGTGTTACCTCACAGTGAAGCCGAAGAGAGTCCAGCATTTGCAGGGCGCCGAGTGCCATATTGTTCCACTCACAAGATCTTTGGTTGAACTGAGCCTACACGATAGAGTGTATCGGCGAGTCGGTGAGCCTGTTCCCTTTCCAAGTTCGAGATTGTTTCGAGAAGACTTCTTCGCTGTACGACATTCCCAAGGCTAGGACAGACTATCGATCAGCAGGGCCGGTCCTGTACGAAGTACAGCCCATTACACTCCTCAGTCGCGCTCTGTGCACCGGCTAAAGAACCGGTCCTGCACAGACGCGACTTTGCCTGTCCTTTTCTGCAAGTGCTCCTCAGGCGAAGATGGGTCTACGGTAACAGAGCCGACTGTTGGTCGAGTGGACATTCTAAGAGCATCACTTTGAATCATAAGCAGACACGATGTTTATGGAGTGCTTAATTTGAGGAACCGCGCGCTGTAGAAAGTCTGACCAGGAGGTGAGGGCGAGAGGAAGAAGGATTCTAATAGTGATAGTGATGAGTCAAGGATTGACAGCCCCGTGGAACGAGCGAGAATATTCAGTAAACAGCTATATTTAGCACATAGCAGTACGTAGCCAAGATACATTAGGATTTTCTCTTCATCAAGAGGGTCAAGCGGACGCCCAATCTGACATCAAGGTCACATGGCCACCCAGACGTACCTATTGATGGTAAGTTGGAAGGTAAATTCGTAACAACCAACCACTATCTATCCATCGTCCAGAATCATCAGTCTGTATCAGGTTAGCTATTGCAAAGTCACTACTATCTCATAATATGTTCTCCTTTCATACAGTTCTTACATCAAGCCCTGCTAGCATAATGACAACTCGTCTTTCTAGAATGGACTTGTCTCCTCGATAGACATGCACTCCTATGCTTTGATCGTCTACGTTGTGGTGTATTTCTTTCTTTGTTAATTTTACTTTCTCATCAGAATGACAAAGTGACTTAACTTCGTCATGTTAGAAGCCCAAGTTACCTACGATATTCAGGGATGCTGCTCGGGCCATTCCCGATTGTTACTCCGAGCCTGATCGTCAGCCTGTTCAGCCATACAGCAGACCGGTCATTGTTCGTTGTACAACATGACCGACAATATCACCTCAAACAAGACGGGCCACCCAACCCCCTCCGCTGCGAACGAGAGCACCCTCCAGCAACCAAGTGGTATGCTGAATGCTTTACGTCCTCTTGATGCATGCAGATAGGCAGGCTAATAACAACAGATGTCCCGCAGTGTTCCCGATGCCTTAATCAAGTCGGTCATTCGGACGATCGCTGTCCACTACAACCTCAGCTGACTGCCGTGAGACAGACTACCATTGTCAATCCTCGACCTGGCGCCGGCGGCACTACGACTTCCGGCCTGGTGATTTCTGTCGGAGTCAGTCATACCTGGCACTATGGCAGCCCCACCGCTACAGTTGCCGTCCAGATTCCCACCGGAGTCAATGAGACGCCCACGGATGCGGTCCAAATTTGCAACAAGCCAAAGCGCAGACGCAGGAAGAGACCGGATACGGCGGCCAGGTGTGAGAACCTTTCCCGAGCAAGTCGAAGCCATGTTACTTCACAACTAGTGATCTGTAAAGAGTTCAACATAAAGTTGTCAGACAGCAAAGAAAGATGGTCCTTATGAAGGGAAATTGCATATAGGTGCATGCTGGTGGAAAACGCCAACCACATCATGTTGCTAATGAACCCTGCGCCAGTGTCTCGCCGATGTTTCTCGATCTAACATCAATACTCTTGGGGATATTACTCTTCTGAGACCACAGCATCTCGTCCACCCCACGCACTACCTCCATAAATCACTTTTTATGTGCACGTTGGTCGACATTATCCGCTAGACACCAAATGGCGTTTCTTGATACATTCTTCTTTGGATTTCCTTTCAGCCACAGAAACCATGTGAGCACGGAGCACTGATTTGACCCTTGACGGTATATCATCTGCTGGATATGAGTTGATGTATACTAACTTCGGTATAGGCTTCCAGAGACGAACAATTTCTCTCCTTAGCCATCGCCTCCGCCCCTGCCAGTCAATAAACGAGGTTTATCTACCCAACCTTTGTGAGAGGAGTCTGAAGAGAGGGGATACTACCACTACATTTGTAGCACCTAGATTGTGACGAGCGCGGAAAATCCCCTACAGGCAAGTACTGGTCTTTTTACCTGCCGTGCGGCTCACCTGCAACAGAAGTACGTTTATTTGATCCATGCATAAGAACTTCAGTACTGATACTCTCTCATATAATAGAGCAAATGCGGCGAATATGAGAAATCTCACACATAAGGGAAGTGCTGGCCCTGGTGCTGATGCCGGCATCCTGTCAGCAAGTGCAATACCCCTCGGCCCGACAACGGTCGATGGTGTCATCAATAACCACTATCATAGTCATGGCCATATTATCAACAACATCTTCTCTAAAGAACCGAGATGGGGATCCTGATCCATGGATGGAATATACATAAAACATGGATACCAGTGCTTAGAGTCCATCGCTTCCATCGTGAATCGTTTCTTGTCGCTTCTTTCTTCTCTTTCAGGGTCCGCATAGTAGGACAGATTGAGATGGCAGTTTCGGACGAGGTCCGAGATAATCAGTTATAACCGCACTTTGCGGGGACATTGGATTAGAACACGATGATGCTCTACGGAGTATGACGGTAACCTAATAGAAGGTCGAACCCATTTCAGGGGCAGGGACCTAAGGTATAACTGCTCACTATGGGGGTAAAAACATAAATTACCGAAATCCCTTTCTAAGAAATAGATTACCCTGTCATTGAATTCAATCGACCGCGATAAGGTCCTTCCAGGAGGTTTAATATCCTCAGTCTGACCTTCCTCAGAAATAACCCACGCCAGGATATTGACTAAGACGTGTAAGAGAAGATCCAGTCTTGGTCTTGGCAGAAGTGTGTCTATACTGACTCTTCTTGTTGGCGACTGGGAAGGGCTAGCAGGGCGGCGCCAGGTTCACAGGGGACTCACGCGCCAGAGGTGGCCATACCAGTGTTAGACAGTTGATTCAATCCAAAGATCACCATCCGGGCCAGCTCAACGCTGTGTACTCGCATTATATTGGGCCGATAAGGCACCCAAAGAGGTCTGCTTCTGAGATCTTGATTTTTTCCCGTTGGGATCGAAGAAGGAGCGAGAATAGCGAGGAATTTGCTGCTTTGATGCTCATGCAGAACATGGTCGAGGGAGTGTTTCTGTGGGTGTTAGTCACTGAACACATTGCAGCTTGCATGAATGGTGTACTTACTTGAGTCTTAAGGACTGCCTGTGACATAGAGGTGCGTCCAGTAAGCCAGGAGTGGTTGACAGTCTTTGTAGGGCGAACAGTCAAAAAGAAGTATTGCTAGTTCTACCAGCAGGCTTGGAATCAAGGTCAGAAACCATATTGAAACAATTGTGGTAGTTCATCCAAGCGCTGTTCTGCTCCAGGCCGCCTTGTGAGCATTGCAGTGCCAGACCTTCTTGAGGACAGCTTCTCCTCAACACTGTTTCGTATTTGCACCTTTGCCTTTGTTAGCAAAGTGCAGCTCCACGAACTGTTTTGTTTGTTTGCCGGAGGACAGGATATAATTACGTCCTACTATAGACATTGCGAGCAGGGAACTTGGTGGACGCCGCCAGCGCCCACATTGGGGGCTGGGACCAGCGTGCCCCTGTGTGGGATTTCGCACACTTGCCACATTTTTGCCGCTCTACATCTGAGCATTAGTATTGCCACTCTTTGGATGCTTCTCATGAAGGTCGAATCAATATACTTACTTCTTTTATTGGCAGGTGGGGCCGGGCAGGAGGGCGGCATTTGCCAGCGAGATGCCAGCGCCCGCAGAGGACGCAGACAGAGCCGAACAGAGATGGCGATTCACCTCCGCAGGGGCTTGCTGGTGGGAGGGTGTCTGGGACAGTGGTAACCGCTAGGATGGCGTGGAGGATGGAGAAGTCCTATACTGATGTTAGTATATACTCACATTGTTGCGGCGTGACAGGTGATTCAAGGAATTTTGAGATTTCTGAAGCGCAACAGGAAAAGGACATGGCACTCTTTTAATACCTAGAATACGAGTCCTAGGAAAACGCTAAGGCCACCACACTTGTCATAATGCTCTGCTCTATGAACTAGGAAGTGATACCCAATATTCCAGAGGAGACCGCTCATATCTGAAGCTGCATTGAGATCTTGTCCACATCATCAAGCGCATTAGGTTCCCGCTCTCTGTGATGTTTAATACTACAATAGTTCAACTTTGTTTACATACTTAGCAAGGCAAGCTCATTTAGGACAGTTTTGATCAAGACTTAGTATAGAGACTAAGCCGCGGTAAGACGTTCAGCATCTCCGGAGACACATTACCTTACAGGCAGGGCTGACATCCACCCAAATTGTAATAGTCGACGGCACAAACCTCTCTCAGACCGGGTTTACCAGAAACGATTGACTTCCTGGTTAGGAAATTCTTATGGGATCAGCTAGGAAACGCCGAGCTGGATTTCCAGCGTACGTAAACATGATCGATCCAGGCATGCAGTCAAGCAATACTCCCAGACGCGCTATGGAGAGAAGATGTTTACATGCACAAAGATGAAGAACATTATCGATGCCACGGACGAAGTACCTTGCTAATGGAGAAAGGTGACATTGCATCACAATGCCTCCCAGGATCAAGGTCACTTTCGATGACAACTCATGTGTTGAGGACTACGTACGCTATTGTATCCAACAGTGCCTACAATGAAAGGAATGCTCGAATACTGATTCGATTGATGAAAATTACTATATACAGAATAATATACATATTGTTAATTATATGAGCTCACTCGGAGCTGGGCTTGTCGACCACCTTCTCACCCCTCTTCTCAGCCTCCTTCCGTCCCTTCTCCTTCTCCTCTTCTTTTTATTTGGGCCTTTTCGGCTCTTTTTATTGCCCTCACCAGGGCGCTTCCGCCAACGCGGCTTCTTAGCGGGCTTGGTGGGCTTGGTGAGCAGGGGGGCGGCGGCCGCCGAGGAGGTGCGAGGCGCGGTGGTGTCGACAGTGATCTGGACACTACCGTTTCAGACGACCGCAGCGACTTCTTGGCTGGTGATGGTGGTGATGGTGGTAATGGTGGCGGCGGGCACTTTCCGGCATGCCGGAAGCCACAACTGTGGCAGTATGGCTGGTACTGCCCCGTGTGGGAATTCCCACAACGGGGGCATCTCCGCTCTATACCCAAGTATTAGTACTGCCGCTCTTCAATGCTTCTCATAAAGGTTGAATCGATATACTGACTCTTGGAAGCAAGGACAGGGGCCGGAGCAGGCGCAGGAGGAGGGGCAGGCTCAGAAGGAATTAACGACCCCTGCAGTAAATAATGCTCGAATCACCGGTTGAATTAATGGAAACTAATTATATACATGATAATAATATAAAGGCTCATTCCTTGGCCTCTCCCTTGTTGGGCTTCTTGCCGCGGCCGCGGCGGCGCCTGCTGGCGGGCGGGGGGGCGGCGCCCGAGGAGGTAGAGGGGGGCGGATAGAAATAAAGGACCCCGCCGTAAACGTTGACCTGAACCGCCGAAGCGGCCGGGGCTGGCGGGGCTGGGGCCGGGTCGGGAGGAGCTGGAGGGGCCGTGCCCTGGCTTGCTTGGAGGGGGCCGGGGCGTGGGGCAGTCGCCAAAATGGCGACGCCCGCAAGCATCGCAAATTGGCCAGCATTGCCCGGTGTGGAAGTTTCCACACTCTCCGCACCTTCGCCGCTCTATATCTATGTTAGCATTGCCACTAGATGCTTCGTGTGAAGGTTGAATTGATATACTGACTCTTAGAAGCGGGGGCGGGTGCCGGAGCATCGGCAGGAGGAGGCGGAGGAGAGGCGACGGCCGAAACCGCAGCAGCAGGTTCCTCTAATAGAGGTGGCCTATAGCCCTATACGATGTTAGACATGCATTCATCCAATCGAAAAGTCATTTTTTGGGGCCAGCTCAACGTATGGACTCACATTTTTCTTGTTCTTTCGTGAATATCAAAAAAATTGCAAAGATTTTTGCGTAGTGAGATGGAAATAGAGGCCTTAACGAGGAATGGAGAGATGTGAGAGAGAGAGAGAGAGAGAGAGAGGGAGGGAGGGAGGAAGAAGAGAAGATGCGATTGCTACGAAGGGGGTCCTGCTCGAGCTACGGAAGCTTCCATCATTCACTCAACCACAGGAAGGTGCGCATTCACGTACAAACAGGCAACAATGCTCATTTCAGGAATCCTCGCCTGCCTTAGGAAGGACCGCCCGTGTATCCAAGAAAGTGAATGACGAAATCTGAGAAACATGGATAGAGGCAATTCGAGTCCTCACGGAGCACGCTTCGAAGACTCGGCGATTCCATTCTACCTGATACGGAGGGTAAATAAATCATCTACTCCGACGACACGGACGTAGGCTGGTGCAGGAAAAAACACGGTGTTAATTCAACACTTACGGGTTTAAACGTAGCTCGCGGAGCTCAATGACACAGTGGGAGTTCTGACAGATCTGAGGGCTCGCTAGAGCTGCTAAATGTGGTTGATAATGGTGGCATGTTTGATGACTTTAGTGTTTCTTCATGACCTCTTTATCGTATCGCGAGTCATGGATTCAGTGGCATCTGACGAAAGTCAACTTGTCTCATAGATATCAACGAGGGCTTTGAATCTCCAGCAAGGGATGGATCCTTATTGTGCACCAGAGAAGTGATGTCAGTATATGCGAATATCGATTTTCATTTACGCCTCACTTCCCCGGCTCAGCCCTCTGTTAGAGAAGCCTTCGATATCATCAATCTGTAGCTTTTTTCTTCCCGGGTATACCACGTCCAATCTCAAGTAAGATGTCAGATTGCCGAGGGTGGTGGGGTTTACAGTTGACCTGCATCCTCGGAGAGGATCCGAGATGATTTTACCAGAAATATGGAGAACCAGAAGATTACGGCAATTATTTAAAGAGATGAATTGGACTCAATCGAGGTGCGGGGACAAGTAGCACATCGAATTGTTTGTACAATCGTAACTATCCGACTGCCTACCTACTCGTCCTTGCCCCCGACCTCGAGAATATAGAACACCATGGCGTCAAATCAGATCAACCGCAACAAAGTCTTTCCAGGAGGCATCCATGTCCCCTGTCTGACTTTCTTTCAGAATAACCCACGACAGGACATTGACTGGGACGTACAAGAGAAGCATCTCTCATTTCTTATCCAGTCCGGTCTCCACGGAAGTACGTCCACCTCCATCCCCAAAACATACAAAGCTACCACCTAACAACTTCAACAGTCGTCCTCGCCAGCTCCAACGGCGAAGCAGTCACGCTCTCAACCGCCGAAAAGACTTCACTCGTCCAACTAACCCGCAAGCTCGCGGCCCGCCTCAACCGCCCAGACGTAACCATTACTCTCGGTTGCGGCGGCCAATCCACCCACCATGTCATCGACGAGACCATCGCAGCCCATCAAGCCGGCGCCGATTTCGCCATGGTCCTAGTACCGAGCTACTACCATTTTGCTATGGACTCCGCCGCCATCGTGTCCTTCTTCGAAGAAGTCGCGGACCATAGCCCCATTCCCGTTATGGTGTACAATTACCCCGGTGTAGCGGCGGGGCTGGACGTCGACTCTGACATGCTAGTGAAGCTGAGCGCGCATCCGAATATTTCGGGGGCTAAGTTGACGTGTGGGGGTATTGGGAAGGTCCCCCGTGTGACGGCCAATGCGGCGAGACCGTTCAGCGTGCTCGGCGGGCAGATTGACTGGATGGGGCCGGCAATTGCCGTTGGTGCTGTCGGAGCGATTACGGGAATGGCGAATCTGTACCCGAGGGTGAGTATTCTGTATCCAAATTTGTTTCCTTGCACTAATAATGAGCCGTGGCGTAGGCGTGTGTTGAGCTGTACGATCTCTACAAGGCTGGTAAGGTCCAGGAAGCAACCGAGCTCCAGTTGAAGGCTGCCACGTCAGAATGGACCTTTGCAAAGGGAGGAATCAATGGGAGCAAATGGGTCGTCGCCAAATTGCTGGGTTATCCCGACGACAGCGCCGCTTGCCGAAGACCATATCCTCTCTTCGCAGATGCAGCCAAACAAGAATGGATACTCGAGCTAGCCGGGAAGCTGAAGCCAGTCGAGGACGCGCTGATCAAGCGTTCAACATAGCCAGAATAGCATCTTTTTATCGTACATAGGCCCAATCAATCAGTCATACACGTCAGAATATAGTACAAAACCCTCCCTCACACATTATACACATCAAACGATGAACCATCATCAACCAACTTCCCCTACAACACCCTTCGCCCCCAACCGCCCCAAAACCCCCTTCTTCAACCTCAACATCCCCTCAATCTCCCCCAGACTCAAACCCTGCCGATCCCGCATCGTCAACGCCTGTCTAATCGTCCACGTATCCACAAACTCCCGCCCCGCAAACCCCGGCCGCCCAATCTGCTCCGACTCCTCCTGCGCAGCCTTAGCAGCCGTCTGCCGCGCAGTCAGCACCAAGAGCGCCGGATTCGCCGCTGTCGGAAAGACGGGCTGGTTTGGGTTTTGTCGTTGGGTAGGACCGGGGTTAAAGGTGCTCGTACGCGAGAAGGTAGGGTTGGGGACGACGGGGCCGATGGAGCGGAGGGAAGCGGCGAAGTCGGGGTCGCGGCCGTCGAGATCGATGACTGGAGACGTTAGCTTGTTAGCTATCTTTCTTACCCGGTTGCCGGAGAGGTATTTGTACCCGCTGATTTTGTTGTGGAAGCTTGTTCCTTCGGGAGTGATGGAGCTTGCGATTGAGCTTGGAGTGGCTGTGAGAGGTTTGGTTCTCGCGGAGGAACTTGTGGCGCCGTCCTGGACGCTGCGGAGGGCTGTTTGGGATATTGGCGTCGTGAGACGGTGCTGGCAGCTGACCGCGCCGGTTTGGATGCGGAGGAGCCCATTTTTTCCTCCTGGGATATATAGATGCTGACGATCTGATGTCTCTCAAAAAGTGAAGCTGAGTTGATAAGAGGCGGAGAGCTTGCGGAGGTTCTTCAGAAAATCAAAGACCCGCCAGACTAGCCCGTCTTGGTCAACGTTGTGCCCGCTGAAGTGACGTCAGGCCGTTGAATGTTATGATTATTTTTCGTTTTTATGACTGGAAAGTGAAGATACCAAAAGTAATATTTTAGAGATTGTAGTAAGCTATGCTATAGTGTTGTGGGTTTTACGTCCGATGTCAAAGGATATAGATAGTATATCAGGGTTCAAGACCGGTCCTACTAGTACAAGCGCATCGCCTCGTCTCCTAAGTCTGCCAGTATCCAGTACTATGCGCATCTATCTGAGACCTGCAAGGCGCCTGCCCTGCACTTCACCCAGAGCGCGGCTGCCGCTGATGAACGCGACAACACCGGCCGCAGCGACAGCTGGAAGAATCTGGAAGAGTGTCCAATGGGAGTAGTAGAGGAAGAAGATCCATTCGATGGAAACCAGGGATCCCAGGAAAACGGCGTGGGGAAATGGGGCAGACTTAAAGGCAGTCGGCAGATGGTTGAGGTTGACGCCAATGAAGAGCCACTATACGAGTCAGGACATCGGCAAGTTGCCGTCGTTTGGAGGAAAAAGACTCACCAGGCCACCGAGGATTGGAAAAGCAGCCAGCACCATTCCAATGAAAACCAGAGTCACGATAACAGGCGGGCTCTGAGGATCAGACTTGAAGATATGGTGAATCTCGGGCAGTTTGCCATATCGCGAAACCTCGACGGTCGGTACTGGTTCGTCGGGATTACGGGCCACTGTCAACGGGAAGGCAAGTTCATTGTACGCCTGAGAGCTTCCAAACGATCCAATGACAAATCTGGCGTCCAGGGGTTCGGCGACGGAGAGGAATTGAACGGGGAGGTCTTTTTGAGTCTAAGCACGCAGGCCACGTCAGCTGTTAAGTAACTCAGTACACTCGACCTCTGCTTACCAGCTCAAGCCTTGATTTGCCATTGTCCTTGACGGTAAAGGGATACGAGATATCTAAGCCGGTTTTGGGATCTTGAAGGAGGAGGAAGACTTGGTGAGCGCGTTTGGCCGAGCTTCCTTCCTGTGCTGTGAGGATCACTTTAAGGGTATCGGAGCTTCCGAGCGCGACCGGTTTGGAGAGCGGCTTGTTGTCGGGGATTCTGCAATTGGTACCATCATTAGCATGTTAATTTCTTAAATAAAGTATCAATGAATAAATGACTATACTTTTCTTTCAGTCCAGATCCGACACCTGCGCCTTTGGTTTGAACTGACACGGTGGCATCAGTAAACCCCCACGAGGATGCTGCTGCGGTCGGGATTGTTGCTGAAGCCAGCAGACAGAGCTGGAGAGCAGTATGCCAAAGCTGCATGCTGAGTCAAATAGTCAAAGAATAGAAACTAAAAGACAAAAAGACAAGTCGTGCAGTCGAGATGACAGAACAATGCAATGTTCTGGCGCAACTGCGGAGTCTTGAAGAATCGCGGAAGCGCTAAACAACGGACCTCCAGATAAGCGCCGGGACTCCCTGATAGTCAGAGTTGGGGCATCGGCGTCCACCTGCTCCGCGCAAGCCCTAATTATTTCCCGGATTCCTGCAGTTCTGGCTGTCGGCCAAACACCTCATTCCCTCCTCGACCAGCTACCTGCTGTCAACGTCCCTGCAGCGTCGCTGTGACATCGTCGATCGCCTCGATTATCGCTCCGGTAGTGATTGAGCATGTTGTTTCCTGCAGATAACTAATTACGGGAACCTTTTTGCGCTGGCAAATCGATCGACCTGAACCTGTCCAACTCCTCGCCTCCGCTGCACCGACAGGTAGCCACCGTCATTACCTGCCTTTCCATCCTATTTCTACATCATCCTACTATCGATATTGATACTATAAGGTCATAAATATCTGGAGATAACGTGTGCTGGTATGTAAATATCCTGTTTGCTGCTATTCAAACAGGCCGGTCGTTGCGGAGTGGCCATTCTGCAGGGATTGCCGCTACGACTCATCTGCCTGTGGTTTGCTCTCACCTTGGACGCATTCACTGACTGTTCACTTTGCATCAGGTGCTAGGGTTGTCGAAAACACAACACTTCCTTCTCGCGTCTTGAAACATTCGAATCTCCCTCCTTTCCTTTCCTAATCCCAACTGCTACTACTGCGTACTCCGCATACTTCTCCAAGTTTCGAAACACGTTACATCACAGACTTATTCGAATACCTGGATCTGGATATTTACTCGAGACCTCTTGCAAAAGTTAAAAGTATGTGGCAAACACCGAGTGTTGGCATGTCTCGCGCTGTGTCCCTGAATCGACGCTCTCAACTAGGGCTTCTACATAATTCTTTCATTCCTCTGACTTAACGACTAACCCTGATATAGTGGCTAAAAGAGATTCTTCCCCTCGCGACATGATTTCTCTGAACACTGTTTTTGATAGAACTCCTGTACGTGTCTTACCATCCCCGTCTTTTCCATCTCTAACCGTTCTCCAGAAAACAAACTCTCGGCGTAGCTCTTCTCATCACTCACGTAAATCAACAAGAGAGCCAGAGTCGACTAAGATTAAGATGGCTCAGACCTCTTACTCACTACCTCCGACCCCTATCGCCTCATCTTTCGAAGAATCGGCGCCATCAACGAAGCGTCGTAAATCCCAACGTCCAGTTGATCTCAAGGACTCCCAGCCAGAGAAGATCACCAAGACTCCGGTGCAAAAGAAAGACGATGTTCCTGCTTCAGAGTCTAAAAGTGATGCCAAAAGTGGCAGCCGCAATCGGAAGTCAGGCAAGCTAAATGGTCACGCCGCTGATGCAGGTGACTCGCACGGCCATCAACTGACAACTCATACTACTTCCAATGCTAAGCGCAAGGCGCAAGCTCCGCCGTCTAAGTCAAACTTGCACGCCTCTCATAAAGATCCTCGAATGAAACGCAAGTCTCTGGCTACCGAGGCCGAGCTGGCCAACGCATCCAGAGACAGATCTGGCTCGACGTCGTCGACCATGGCTCCTGCAACAACGCAGAGCGATCGCAAGGCAAGAAAGTCAATGCCTGCGAAGCTCAACGGTGTGAGCGACAAGAAAGAGACTGTCCATCCTAAGTCCGCTGACAAACCCTCCGCTTCTCGCCCTTCTACTCCCGCTCGCATTGATCGTAAAGCCAAGCCAACATCTCAAGCCAGCGCCAAGGCGACCAAGTCTGCCAACAAGGTAGCTCAAGTTACATCAACAGCCAAACCTGCTACCCCCGTTGCCCCCAAGACTGAAAAGGCTGAAACAGCCGACTCAACAACTCCCGCCGCTCAGGCTAACACAAATCCACGCGACTCTACTGCCAGATCCCGTCGTCGTGATCGCAAGTCCAAGCCCGGGACCGATCGCAACCTTGGGGATCATATCCAAGTGTCGTCGACCAAGCACAATCACAATCACAATCCTCCTGTCCGAATTCACGAGACTCCATCTCAGCCTCCCTCTGTCCCAGATCCTACTCTCGAAGCAGCTCAACCTCTTTCTCACAACATAAACACTCGAAGCTCGCGAGCCAAAACCGCCGCTAAACTTCTGGCTGTCGATAAGCCTCTGGAGTCACCAGCGACCCTGATGGTTCTTGAGACCACCCCATACAATGGGGAGGTCGCCGACAGTGTCGAGGGGACGCCTGTGCAAGCCTACCGTGACAATTTCCACTTTGAATATGGCCCTGAGATGTATGGTAACCGCTTCGGCCTCGACGGCCAGGTGGATGGCCCGGGCTCACCGACGAGTTTATCCACGGGCACGTCCGCTGCTGCGAGGACCTCGAGTCGCATTCGGAAGCCCACCATGAAGGCTCTGGAGTCCCTGGAGTCGGAGCGGCAGTTCCGCCGCTCCAGGGCTCCATCCAGCAAACCCGAGTCGACGGCGTTTATGGGGCAGAAGAAGGGAGGCGCGGCCCAGCCTGAGCATCAGGTTCCGGCATCCGCGCAGGCGTCTGCCGCTCAGCAGCCTGACACGGCATTTATTGCCAGGCGGCTGCTTGAGCTGGCGGTGGCAGCTGTGTCTGCAGACCCTGCGCTGGATGCCGGGCTTGATGCCAGGCTGGAGAGCCTGCGCAAAGAGTTCGAAGCGGAGCAGCGGGGGCAAGATGGAGAGGGGGCGGGGTCGGAGGGAGAAAGTAGGCCAACCTCCAGCCTGCCATTTGGTATGGACAAGACGAAAGTATCGGAGCCGTGGACTGACGAGGATGGTTGGACGCATACAGGTCTTCTCAACAAGTTTGGGGAGGAGTACGTCTTCGTCTCTTCCGACTTTGAGTGGGTTCATCCCACCAACACCTACGGGGATGACCAACTCCCCCAGCCGCCGGGGCGATTCAGATCGCGTGAACAGGCGGAGAAGGACCGTATCTTCGGATACCCGCCGCGGCTGGGGGAGCGTAATCTCCCGCAGCAAACGAATCTCCCTTTTCGACTGGAGGACGTTGACGAGGAAAAGGCTAAGGTCAAAGCACGAGACGCAGCCCGGCTGAGGGGCATCCCGGTTGATCGGACGATGTCGGCAGCGGAGATTGACGCCTTGATCGCGCAGCATGACAACGCTGGGCAGAGTGAGCCCGCGAAGGAAGAGAAGCCTGCCAGTGGTTCGCGCAAGAGAAGGCGCACGGAGCCAGTCAACGCTACCCCTTACTCGACTTCGGTGACGAAGAGGCGGCGACAGAATCCGAGTGCTCCCAGTCCCGCTGCCGCTGCCGAGAAGCCAAGTCTCACGGTGAAGTTCAGATTCTCGAACCCCGAGAAAGCGGCGGCGGTGGCAGGGCTTTTTGGGGCGGTGCCATCTAGCACATCGAAGAAACGCCTTCTTGCCGACGCGGAGACAGACGGTGATGCCAGTTCTGCTAAGAAACTCAAGTCATCGCCAGCGACAGCCAGTCCCGCCGAGCTGAACCAGACACCGAATGGTCGTCCGCGGCGCCGCGCGGCAACGGCTCTGATGGCCGATTTCCAGTCTCACGCCGAGGAGCGGGCTCGTCGGGCCGCTCGAAAGAAGGCCACCACTCCTTCGAAACAGGGAGGCGGGAGTGCTGAGGGTGTGTCCATGAGAAGCGCATGATTCGGCTACTGTTGGTATTTGTTCACTTGCATTCTACCTCGCCTTCTACAAACCACTCGTACTTCGAATTACGCTTAGTTCACTGGCCTCTGCTTTGTCTCGATCGCCGTCCTCAATCGCCTTCTTCGTCACGCCTCCAGTCGATTTAACCCCGCCTCACATCACTTTGGCATCTCAAGGCTCGACCATTTGTTGAGTTGAGACCGCTTTGCCTATGTTTCACTGGGTCTTACCTCACTTCACCTGGGACGAAGTCGACCTCGTGCCTGCTATTTGAAGTCAATGTACTAGCCACTTACATGTCCATCATCTGATTTTTTCTTACTATTACTATCGTCTTCCCTCACCCGCGAAAACGCCTGCTCATACAATCAGTCCTGATTGAGTTCTGAATCTTCGGCTACATCTATCTGCCTTTTGGGGAGTGATCACCCAGCAAAATGATAGACAATTGGCGCGAGCAGTCTATTGGCTCTCCATCTACCTTCTTCTCCGTCTTATCTCATTCCTCTAAGACTAACGATTCAATTTTGTTGAACCTCTTTTGCTATGATTGGCACGAGGCAACATCATCTTTACCTAATCTAATCACACTGTTGTCGCACGGCGTTACGGATTGAGTACATGCATCAAAGCATAGCGAAGCATTCGGTGGACTTGGGCTCTTCTGTTCATTTTGCGTTTGTGATATTCTCTCTTGTTGTTTCATTGAACTCTGTTAGGTGATTGGGCCGAGCTGGACGCTGCGGACCTCCCTAGACATTTCTAACATGTTCATGCCATCAGCAGGAACCGACACGCTGCGTGTGAGGTGCCGTTGATGGCGACTGTATGTATCATTTCTTTCACCTGTACAATCTGGGGTTTGAGGCATATCGGATCCGGCGCTAGCAACGGGTCATGGATGCATAAGCAATTGATATTAGCGGATATGGCTTTGAGAAATGTACCTTTGCGTTAATAGAATTACGATATCGATCATACGGACTTGCCTGTGTGATTGTACCCAAGAATCCCTGGTATCGTAGAAATGTTCTTAACCTGCCTGAGGCATCAAGGCACCAAGGCAAACTTTTCCGCCAACCGCACACCCGTTACGTCTCAATCCTTGACCTTGTAACAATCCATTTCTCTGCATCAATTTCCATTCATCTTGTCCTACTTCGTAGTACCTTATAAACCAACCAGAGAGTAAAACAATGACAAACTCAACCCCCACCTCAAAACCCAGAGTCATCATCGACCCGCAAACCCTCTCGCAGCGACGAAATACCCGCCCCCGGACCCAAGGCCAGATCACAGATATCCGGCAGACGAAGGAGTACAAAGTCGCCGCTAGACGGTAAGCCTAGTCCATTTTTCTTTTGTGTCTCGAACTGATGATGTCATGATAGGTGGTTATCGACTATTGTGGCGCTGCCGATATTTCTGTATACGTCGTGGGTGTTGTATGATCGGAGTATGTGCTTTTCTTTCTTACTAGAATTGAGTTGAGCTGATGTTGTGTTTCTTGTAGCATATGGGAATAGTAAACCGAAGCGGTTGGGGAGACCGTCTACGGAGGAGAATGAGAAGGAATAGATTCGTTTAATAGGGTTGTATATTAGTGTTGACATTGATTTTTGTGCCTGCCTTGATGCGATATGTGTACCAAATCCAAATCCAACTCCAATTGCAGAAAGCCAACTATTCAGTATCGTCCATTTCGACACCACAGATCCCCAGTATCAACGCGGCCATCGAGCGGCTGTCCTCCAGATGACCGACAAAGGAGACGTGGCTTCGAGACGTGCTTCCTCCCAGCTCCTCTGTTTCGGTGTCGTTCGAGGGTTCAACTCGTGAATGGCAACAGGGCAGTCCCCACGAAGCTCCTCGTCCTCTTCATCTCCCTCTTCATCTTCGTCGTCCCCATCATCCTCATCCATCTCCGCACTATCACCCAGATATCCCTCCTCGTCACCAGCAACCTCACCCTCAGACTGAACCTCATCCCAATCCCCGACAACCGTATCCGGCGTCTCAATCCACGGCCTCCGATGCGAAAGCGTCCACCGATTCATCCTCTCCCCTCCCCAATCTCACTCTCTCCGTCTTCACAACCCACCAACACTTTCTCCAGCCTTGGCACCCCCCGCAGACACACACCCCTCATATGAAACCACCGGCGGTAGTTCCTCGCCGCTAACATCCCCGGAATATGTTGCTGTAGTTCCATCGCTACCCGCTGCCGCGATTGCCCAGCGATGGTCCACTTGACGCTGAAGTGAACCTGCATAAAGGCTGTAAAAGAGGTGGGGTATTTGGCTGCTGCGCGCGGGGGAACTCGAAGGCGAAGATGAGGGAGTATGCGTTCAGTTTGAGGAGGGTGGTGAGGCGGGCGGGGAGGCCTTCTATTATTTCATTTCCATCTTCAGGTTCAATTTCCTTTTAAGGTTGAGTTTGGGTTGGTGTTGTTGCGACGACGAGGGGGGAGGACAGGAACATAGTCCTCCGCAAGCATGATATCTTCCGTTTGTGACGACAAACCCCGCAATCTCGTCTGCGTGCTCGTCGACCAGCTCGTTCAGACCATAAACGTTTGTGACGCAGATGAGGCTGGGCCTCGCGCTGGAGTTTGCGGATGAGAAAGAGGTATGTGTTCCAGGTGTTGACTCGGAGGGAGACGATGAGCACGAGGATGGGTTTGGTGTAGTTCGTTTTGTCGGTTTCGGGGTGTGGGAGGGTTTCGATGGGGAGGTAGTGGGTTATGTCGTAGATGGGCATTTTGCATGTACTACTGTAAGGGTTTGGGTGTACACATAACTGGATGAGAGGGTAGAGGGAAAAGGAAGTGAGGGTCTGAAGTGACAGAAAGGCGAGGGAACACAGCAGTTGATTCGAGTAAAGTGAAGGGAATGACTAGAGCAACGGTCTATTGAAATATGAAAGAACAATGGCATCTCAACTAAAGCACTCTCCCCAATTTCCTCCAGATCTAGCCCAACTCAACCCCTCGACAAAGTCATTCAGCTTGCATCTCCCCAGCTTGTCCACAGCGCAGCCATGAAGAGGCACAACCCGGTCATTGATCAAAGCGCGAACAAGAGGCTCCTTTTCCGACTTGCATTGCATCGTCTCGAAGTAGGCTCGCGCTCCAAAAGGCACGGCCCAGGACGCAGAATACCCGTCTGACTCCTTGGTGCTCTCCACCGAGGTCTGGGACAGCGGCTCAGTACCATTGTACAATCCCATGGCAAAGAATATGGGAATCATGCCGTTGTCGTGCGAAAAGTCAACGTACATGGTGGCGTTCAACGGGAAGGTGGCCGGGTTGGAGTCCAGAGTCGAATTGGTGCTCGTGTGGTCCTGCACTGGCGAACGGGTCAACCGGGCAATCAGCTCGTTGGTGAATCCTATCCCCTGAGCTGGTCCCAGAGGGTTTCCTGCGCCGTAGCCGTAGTATTTGCCCAGGGACTGGAGGTAGTCGTACTTCTTCCACTCATTGTGAGTGAAGAGTTCACAGAATGGTGACAGCTGAGTCGCGTCGGTGGTGCGCGCTACGGTATCGAACGAGCACATGTCCATCAGACTGACAACATCGTCGTCTGTCAGCTTCACACCAGGGAGATGCTTTTCAGCGCGAGAACGGATCGCAGGCGCAAAGAGCGCAGTGAAATTGGCCGCAACCTCATCCCCCAACTCACTCGCCTCAAAGTTCGTGCACACGCTGTGGTCCAGCGTGTTGTTGAACGTCTCGCTCTCTGGGATAATCACACTAATCACCGGAGCGGCGCGGTTTGTCGCGCCAGAATCCGCCAGCCTCGCCTGCTGAAAACCCTCGATGAACTTCTCCCCAGAAGCGATGACGCGGTCCGACCCCGATGAGCGAATAAACGGCAACACGCTGCGCGCAAGAGCCTTGTACCTCTGGTAGAACTTGATCCCCGAGTTCACCATCTGCTGCTCCCCAAAGGGCGTGAGGTCGTCCGCACCCAGAGTATAGTTGTACGTCTTGAGAAAGGCAAACTTGCCCTTGAACGAGGTAGCATTTCTCTGGATCGCCGTCACTAGCTGCTTGTACTTTTTGCTCTTCGAGCTGGTCGGGTACCGCGCTCCATGCCGGGATAGGACCTGCACAAACGTGACCCGGCAATCTTTGGGAAGCTCACTCGACACGGACAGCTGGTCCTCCAGCGAGAAGAACGGAGAGTACTGGCCCCATAGATGAGAAGTCGCAGGGGAGCACTGGTACCCGAGCTCTACCGTATCGCAGGGCTTGGAGCCAGCCGAACTAGGTGCAGCAGACACTCTACTCCATACCAGAGTCAGAACCACAGCCCTAGCATAGCAATGAAATCCAAACCACTCACCTAGATAGCAGATACGCCACCGAAAGCAGAAAAGTAAGAGTACCCATGATACCGACAATCAGGGTTCCGATTCCCCGTTTGTTGGAAGTCCTAACCCTCAATCTGAACGGGAAACCATCATCCCCCCGCCGGACACGCCGGCCATTATATAGCTCCTTCATATCTTCCCACCGGACTCACATCGCACTCCCCTTCCACATACGAAACGGACGTCCGGCCCCTAGCCAGCTTGCAGTCCACCACGCCGCTAGCAAGTGAGTAGCCTCGGAGGACGAGTAGCCTATCGTCAGTGGAGCGATTCGTAGCTCTGTCGCGTGAGAGCAGGGATGAATCCGAACCGAGGACGATAGTGCACAGGAACTTGACCGAAGGGGAGAGGCCATAAAGTCGGACAAACTGATGTGTGGTGATGTGCGGGCGTCTGATAGGCTGCGCGGGAAACCACGTGGGTGCAACCGTTGTGGTGGTTGGAGAGTGCCTGGCAGCCTTAGACTGACGGCCTGAGATCCCGAGCTGGGACAGACTATGTGGGGGCCTTGGTGCCTTGGAATACTGCCGAGATTAGATCGATTATAGAAGTATCTCGAATTCGCGATAGATTGAATTCCGACGAGGGAGAGCATACGCAATAAACTCTATCGAGATTTGATTTAACACTGACTACCTTCTAGGCAAAGCAATTCAGCAGTACCTCAAGAACAACCGAATTACCTACGGAAACTACGAAGTAATACGAAGTAGAGATCAGATAGCGCTTTAACAGCCCTATAATGCCCAGACCAGTACCCGCAATCTTGTCTGCCTCTCCGAGATTAATATATACCTTCCCAGCACCAATCGAACACCCTCTCACCGCAACGTGTGCAACAGCCAACTTCCAGGACATCGCTAATGTGCTCCATACAGCATCATCCATGTAGACCTGCTTCGCCAATCTAATTACCTTCGCTAGTGATATGGCACACATGAACCCTGCAGATGACGACTCTGCAACTAACATCGGAGCAATGTTCCAGAGAAATTAAGTACGATGATCATCGCGCGGTTTGTTGACTCGTTTGGTGGCGTGCGCCATTATGAGGAAAAAAATATGCAGGAGATGCATTCGAGTCACGGATCAGCAGTGACTGCTTGAGCTAATGGAGTTACTGTATATAGCACCAGCATGTGATTGTATGATGCACAGATGGGAGACCTGCTATATTGAGATAGTCCGATGGATGTGTCGAACGGACGAGGTCAATCAGGGGTAATCACCAGGCTCTTATCCAACGCCTAGCCGAATCAAGAACGGCTTTCTGAGCTATGTACAAATATGAGGGTCACTTGCGGCAATTTTAGTCAACTAGATCACAATTTGGCCTCCCAGAAAGCCAAGACATTTTATAGAAAAGGCTCGATGTATATAAGCTCTCGGCCTTTCACCCACAGTCAAAATGAAGATGCAAGTTTTTCTCGCGGAGGACGCTCCCAATGCAAGCACGATGCTTATGTTTAAGAAAAAAAGAGACAGTAACAATCTTGAGGACAACACAATAAGATAAAACACAAATGAAAAGGATCATACATGAGTCAGAGGTGTTGAGCTCTCCGCAGATATAGGCAACGATTCACAGGGTCAGTCTGCTAGGAATGCGTCCAGTTCTCAGGCAGCTGGGACAGTTGCTTCGCCTGTTGTTCATGAGCAGTCACTGGGTATGAGACACCGTTGTGCCAGCTTTCTCGTCTGACAGGTAATCCAGAAACTGCATCGGAGGCTGGCAGTTTTCCGGGTGATCCTCCTGTAGCATTCAAGGCACCTCTGGCCTCTGCAGCGGACCACGTTGTCTCAGCTTCCCGCTCCGGAATCGAACGGTACACAGGAGGAGACGGGGGCCGCAGTGGAAGCTGCCCCGGCGGTACGAGGCGGGTGACATGCTCTCGGTAAAAGTCCCGCTCGGATCGATAATAATCGCGTTGCTGCATCAGCTCCCGAATCTCCTGCGCCTGTTTGTGCAGTGCCTCCTGCTGCTTCCGGATCTCGTCCTGTTGTGCCGTAATCTTCTGCTCCATCTGCATCTCATTTCTCTTCCGATTGCGGAACCTTCTCGAGGCATCGCTGTTTGCTTTTCGCTTCTCTGCCTGGCTGGATGACCCGGACTTGAGGTCCAAAATACAGGGGATCATCCCAGGCAGAGGTGGGGCATTTGTAGTTCCTCCCATCGTGGGTTGCTCGTCTCCTGCCGGCCTATCACCGACAACTGACGGCAACCGACTGACCGGTTCTGACATTCCATATACCTGGTGATTAGCGAATGATGGTGCAGATTGTGGGACGGGCATCCCCGCGATTGCTGGTGATGATCGACCGAGCGGACCATGGATGGAAAGAGGCGTCGTGGGGCTCCTCTCTTGGGAGCTGGGAGTAGGGGTCGGATTCACGCTCGTCCCCCGACTGTGGAAGGTTGGGGTGGAGTGGACGGAAACGGGGACTGGGGCCATGGTTTCGGGTCCATGGTTCGGGTTCACTGTAGCATTTTCCAACGGCAGAGGCGACCCAGAGGACAACCGATACAGTCCCGGCCGTGACTCCTGAGCCAGGGGAGATTGTATAGCACTGTGTTTCCTAGCATACGGCCCTCCGGCTCTGACAAACCGAGATGTGGGGGAGAGAGGCGAGAGAATCTGACGGTTCACCGACCCAGGGGAGAGTGAACGCCGTTTGGCAGGATGTATCGACGGAGAAGCCAGACGAAGCGTAGGCGATGAATGCAGTCGGACATGAGAAGCAGGTGCAGAAGGAGATGGAGGGACAGATGACTGATGTCTCGTCAGACTCAGGTTATCTCCTCCCGAAGGTACCAGACAAGGAGGAGCAGATTTTGTGGGGGAATTCAGGATGGAGAGCACTCCAATAGAACGAAGTTGGGCAGCTTGCAACGGGGGCTCCACTGGAGCAGAAGGGCGCCATGAGAGCGGCCGAGGACGCACGAGATCACGGACCTCGGACGAGTGAGAATTATCGTCTACACGAGGCCGCTTCTTTTCGGACAAGGTGCATGAGTCTGTGCGGAGAGAATCGTCCTTCAACGGTTCAGAAGCCGGTGAAGTGTGCGACATGTGCTCCTGTTTACTTTCGTGAGACTGTCGCTGAGAGTTGGGGCATGACGCAGGGCCCCCCCTCTCCCGGTGTATATCGGAGCGAGGAGAGTGGGAGAGGGAGCCGGTAGGCTGGGGAATATGATAGCCAGACAACGACTTATATTGATAAGGAAGATGCACAGGATTGGAGTACGAGGTAGTATTCAACACGCTGATCCCTAGAGTAGCCAGGTTGGCGGATGAGAGTCGACTATAACACGAGAGAAGAAAGATGACGAGGTCGAGGAAGATGAGTAGTGAGTCAGAGGAATATATCTCTCAGTCTTCGTTCTCTTAGGGGAGAGCGATGAAATTACAACAAGAGATGAGGAAGGTTAGATCAGAAGGGGCCAGAGGAAGTATGTGCAGAAGCAGGAGGTATCCAGCTGGGGCGGAAGCAAATCAATATGACCCTAGGACTCAATGGAGGCGCAGAAGAGGTCGGAAGAAGATAAGGTGATGATGGACCATGCAACTAGAATTAAGTAATAGTGCCTCGAGAGCAGCAGCAGCGGCAGGGAGAAAAGAAATTGGAAGGAATCAGGCAGATTTAGAGTGATAATTCAGAGGAGTGGGAGGACATATTTTCTCTATTATTATCTTGATTATTGCTTTTTATTTATTTATTTTTATTTTTCGAGACACATGGCACTTGCACAGCACCAAGGCCCAAAGTACCTTACCTGCCATAGTCGAGATGACAATAATAATACCTAATAATAATGTTGACTGTGACAGACTGTTCGGAGGACCGTTGACAGCAGACAACAGCAGATCAAGCGGTGAGCAGGAGTAGTGGAAGACGGGGGGAAGCAGGAAATGAGTGGAGACCAGTGGGTATGGCAGTAACACTAATGCTGGGCCTGGCAGTGGGAAGTGGGAACCTGTACACTAGGAACCTGGGAGCCTGGGACAGACCCGCTCGGGAACCGCAGGCATGGGAACTGGCTGTAGGTAGCACTGCTTTAGTTAGCCGTTAGTTACATTCGACTAGTATCCAACACAATCTCTTGGTAAGTTCTAGACTTTAACCTACATAGGTATCATTATTGATATTTGAAACGTTAACCACGCAATCATGAAGAGAAAACTCCTTCCTACGGATATACCCACCTAATAAGGTAATCCTGAACCTACCAAGATACGTATCAAAGCCACTGCTTACCTAGAGAGTCCTTTCTAGGGTAGACACCGGGTGTCTACCTACCTAAAGGAGGGAACGCTATATGGATAGGGCCGGGGAATCGGAACGCGACTGTTGGTGTTCACGAGTTGGTTCGTGGCTGGATTGAAATTGGAGCTGGAAGTCTGTGAGATTCAACGTCACTCCACATCCTGAAATTGGGTAGACTTGGGGAAGGCAGTTCAACCTATGACGGGCAGAGAGCTAGCGGAAAGTAGGTAAGAGACAGAGACCCGCTCTACCCAAAGATACTTTACCTTGGCTCCAGGGTTGAAATGGAGCTGATCGCGCAAGACATCCGATGATCGAGGGATGGTGTGCTGCTGCTGCGACCACAGTTGCGTTTGTATAAAGGTTTCCAGTAACAGTTCGGGTTTCACTGTTAAGTTTGTAGGTACAAGTAGGATTTACTCCTGTAGCTTTGACCTGGTCATGGCCCAAATGCTAAATCTAAAGGGCGCCGTCACCATGGGCGCGGACAGGATCGGAGTGGAGTCCTGGTACATACCACAAAGTACCGTTATTCTTAGTGTATTACCAATATCATCTCAGATACATATTCGGTACAGGCATTAGTTACTTACCGCTATTATAACATCACCATGAGGGCATCCAGCTATTGAGCAAGATCAACAGTGCACGAGACATGTCACCGCCTGGCCTCCACATCCATTAAATGGTTATGTGATAGAATCTCAGTCAGGGCCCGGTAATTCAGTCAACAAATCACTCGGTTGTTCGAGTATCTACACCTTGCTTGTCGCTGTTGAACTGATGTTCTGTCCAATGAAAAACTACAATAAAGTCAAGTACAATACTCCGTACTACAGTAAATTAGTCCTTGAATCCGTGTCGCAGGATATCGAAGGCTGAATGAGTTAGTGAATGTCAAACGGTTGCAGGCCCACACCAGAAACACTTGCCTCGTGGCGGACCGGGGGTCGTATCATGAGACCGCACATAGACCAGACTGCATCGGTAGTCGTGATCCTACCATACTCCCTAACGCAGCTCGAAAACCAGCCAAGACCACAAAGGCCATGCAATAATGCCACGCCGCCAGTGAAGGCACTAAAACAAGGGCCCCGTTAGTCTCGGGCCGGCATATTGGATTGGGGCCAGAGAGTGAAAGTTTACCTAGTGCTTGGCCACAGTGGGCCCGGCCAGCTGACGAGATGGGATGGATTCGAATGTTGTGCATGCATGCAGTACTTGTTAGATCCTTTCACGCGTCTTCTCAGTACTCTTCCTCTTGGCTGTGCCATATGGATGAGGCGAATTGGTCCTTTGTTTCAAGACACTCTGGCACCTGTAACTGTCGGCATCTGTATATGGTCTTCCTGGTCATTCCTCTATGCTAGCGGTCTCATAACAGTTCTGCTGCCTGCTATCCATGAGACCAATCCCTTCCGAGAGGCATGGTAGAATGCTCGCCAGTTGGCACACGGCAGTAGCGCAGCCTCTCTGAGATCCAATCAGATTGGAGATTAGCATACGCTGCAGGCGATCTCGGACCGTCCCTGGGACAAAAGTTTCAGCTACACCATTGGGCATCTGGGCATCAATAGAAGTGCTGGTGGGCACCACATGATGAGACACGCAAGGCAAAATAGGGCAAAACAAATATCCTCAAAAGACAAGCCACATCGATCATAAGTGTCTGTACTTTGTTAAGCGATTGACGAGTGTCCCGGTTCGGCGGTTCTCTGTGCAGTATGAAAGCAGGAGGACCGAAAAGTGTGGACACATCATCGGTTGCCTTGATGGCACAAACTTCCTGGCAGATGTGGCCGAAACCCAGAACCGGCCAGCTGCATGCTGCAAAAATGCCCTAATGTATGCCAAATGAGTTGCATATAAGCTTCCACCTCAAACAATACATATGTACGTAGACAGTAGAATGGACAAATCAATTCGTAGAAAACAGCGGGAGAGGCGAGGCTAACTTCAAGTGTTGCACCTCAGCAACTCAAAAAGTACTTATTTTCGTGTTGCGCAGCATTTACTCGTGCTTTTGAGATTCGACACAGCCAATCTCACCTGGTAGGAATCAGCCTGTCGAGGGATCCTCCCGCCCTGTTTTGTGGATGTTGTAGCGCCGGCGATGTGATCTATCTCGGGTCCGAGATTTGAAACCTCGTACTTTGGTAGAGGTCCAATAGTACACTTTCTAGAAGAAGAGTAGATCGCCTCATGGAAACCCACTGGGGAGATACGTGCTTGACCACAATATCAGATGCAACATCCACATTGGTCGACTATGGTGATCAGATGAGGTCGAAGGCTTGAAGCTCGGTAAGTAATGATCTGCAGCAGAAGATGAATTATCTGCAGTGCAATTTCGAAATGAAAACCAATCCCGAGTGATTCTATGGACTTTGGAGACATGATTGGTCAGAGGTGAAAAGTCTACTCTGGATATTATTCGATATTCCCTTTTTTCGTGCCTGCACCATCGGATGTGTTTTAAGCTCTCGGATAGCCTACAGCTAATCCTGCTCCGGTGAGTTACACGACTTGGTACGTTGATTCTTCGTCCTTTTCTTTTCTGATTTGTGCATCAGATGCAGCATTGACTTTGGGCTATAATTCTGGGTTGTTGGGAATAAAAGTTAGGTCAGTTTCCACTGTCTTGGCTGGATGAAAGACTGGATTGTCCCTATGTAGTCTGTATTATGTATGCCCTGTAGATCCACACTGGAGTACCTCTCAATGAAGTAGAGTCATATCATGATATCATGCATCCTTCGTCCACGTTCAGACGGTAGACTATCTATGGGGAATAGTGGCACACTGGTAGCTTCATGTACTCCATAGTAGAGCAATGTCTCACTAGCCGATCCATGGAAATTACTGACATCGAGATCTCATCGAATATTATGTATGTGCTTGCCTCCTGAGCCTTGAATCCTGCCTGATCTCTGGTTTATGGGAAGTGGGAAGTGGAGTCTGAATCCAGGCACAGCTGACCGAGAGGATATATCCCACTTAGCGACTTGGCAAGGGTGTATGCATTGTATGGTTGTTCTCAATTCTCACTGTGACCAACTACTTTTAGCTTCGACCAGTGGGCAGTGCGACTCTAATTTTGGGGCTGCAATCAATATTGAAATGCAGATGAGCGTGTTCCAGCTTGCATTAGCACCTTTAGTTAAACGAATCCTTCCACAGGGGAGTGATTGCTGTGCTCTACTCTAGTTTCTGGGGACAGTCCTCGGTACTCCGTAGATGGCTACCTTACCTTAGCCCCTGAGCCTTGGTTCATTCATTCCGAAAGAGAACTAGAACAAATTAATATCCATCCTTTTGGCGAGGCGATCCATATATCCATACATAATCCGAGTCCTATCTGTTCGTACAACATGATAAGAGGTTCAACCCAGTTTATGAGACCCCGTGCTTACCTTCCCTATTATTTACCTACCTAAATAATGAAGTCGATGAAGAAGTAAAGAATAGAAAATTAACCAATGTACTCCGTAGTCCATCAAGGGAACGCGAGATCCTCCCCTCCCTCCCACCTCTCACTTCAAACCTAGGAGCCCCTCATCCCGCGCGCTTTGCTTTTTCCCTCTGAAAGCGCAACCTGCCGCTCCAAGCGCCTGTCAAGAGATGATCTCAACTTCAGATCCCGCTTTCTCGAGCGTGATGAATCAATATCTTGTCATTGGTCCCCAACGCTCTGTATGCCTTCATCTGATACTGTTGGCAGAGTCCACATCCTCTGCGGGTGGCTCCGTATTGGTCCACTGCTGTCCCTATTCCGACCACTGGATTCAAATTCTACTCGTAGCGGACGATGATGCTTGGTAAGCAGCTAATCCCTACGTAGGCATTGGTATGGACTTGCATAGCGCTAGAGGAATAGAAGGAATAGACAAGCGAATCATTATGCTGAACGGTTGCTTGCACTATAATTCTACTAGCTAGAATTGGTTGTCTGGACACCTTTTTGTCTCAGTTGTTGAGTCCATGCAACAACTCATTATTGGATTAGGCGGCATCGACCTCCGGAGGAGAAGAGGACTAGCAAGATAGATCGATATCTAGAGGACACACGAGTCAGTGCAGCTCATGCAGCACTGGTATCACGAGTTGGCCGAATGTGCCTCATGGAACTTATGAGCACGACTGGAATATTATCCAGTCCTCCCTTGCAACCATGAAGGAAAGGACAGCCGATTTTGATTGATGATCATAACCCGGTGCCAGATACAGTAGTCTGTGTAATTCGCTCCTCTTATGGTTAGAATGTTGCCACCGACCTTGGGCACTTCCGCCCGCAGTTGTGATCTCCAGTGCATCCACGATCTCCGGTACATGGACGTATCTCATGCATGTGGGAGACTCAGAAATAGGTCTTCTTTCTCATCTATTGCTTGTCTAGTTGGAATACTTCTGCCAGATGAGGAAGCCTGTGTATGCTTTCTATATCATTGCATTGCCGTGTGATTCTGGCCATGCGTCGTCGCGATTCTTTCTTGATGTACGTTGACGATTCACGGTCTTCGATCTGCTGTCGTACTCTTGGCTGGGATAGGTCCATTGGTCGACTTCTTGATACCTTCCAGGCCTCCATTGGAACCGCAGATCAAACTCAGTCTACGAAATTGACAGTAAGCTTATCGGGCGCCTCGTTTCCGAATACCATGTTGTGGGACACATGATCGATGGATGAGTATAGACTCATATCGCAAGGTACAAATGTCGTTTCTTGAAGGATGGCTGGGTTCACATTGCTGGAAAAGTTGGAGCTATATGCGACTATTGAAAGTCCCATGCGTATATTCATGACTATTGACGTATCCCTCGGCATTTGAAAAACCTACTTCTGGAACCGGAACTCGTTCTTCGGCTTTCCCCTAACTCCCACGTCAATTCGATAGACCCGTCCGCCATAACGGACAGACTCTGGGAACCGCTCATCGTTGACATCGTCTTTGGCCGTGGTGACAAATAGTTCCGTCCCTACAAAGGTCGGACAGGTGATGTTCCTGGTTGGGAACGAGATCTCGCCAATAAGCTTGCCCTCCGGAGAGATGCGGATGATCTTCCCGCCCCCGTAAATCGCGCTCCAGATGCATCCTTCCTCATCGATGGCGAAGCCATCGGGTTCCATAGGCTCGCCAACATCATAGTGCACTCTGCGGTTACTGATGGTTCCCGTGCTGGCGTCAAAGTCAAAGGCGAAGATCTTCGCCGTAGGCGAATCGGTAAAGTACATGGTATCGTCTCTGGGGTTCCAGCCAATCCCGTTGGGAATGGACACCCCTTCGACCATACGATGCAACTGCAGGTCGGGGTCCAGCCTGAACAAGACGCCCTCGTTGGTTGGTTTCTGGACTTTGGGGTCATTCATCGATCCGGCCCAGAACCGCCCATAACTGTCGACGGCTCCGTCATTGAAACGCATTCTGGTTCAGAGAGCGTTCGGAACGAGTCAACTTCTATGTCCAAAGACGGGTTTCGTCAGATAATCCAGACTTACCGATGAGGTTTCTCCGGATCCTTCTCGTCGTCCCAGGCCTTGCGGAGGTACGACAGTTCCCCAGTGTTGCGGTCAGCAAGGGCATAGCCGTGTTTGGCGGCTACGACTATTTGATCCTTGTGATCATCACCGCCATTCGCAATATTGGCGGTGACTCTGCATGTCTCGCTCAGCGAACCAGCCATCAGGGTCATTTAGAAGCTTAGACCTACCCAAGAGGAGAAGCTGTGTCTATTGTTTTCAAAGACTCCGGACCCTTGGCTAAATCCAGAACGTACAACTTCTGATCCCAGATGTCGACAAAGCGAAACTCGTTTCTGGCCTCATCGTGAAAGGGGCCCTCGAGAAGGGTACCTGCTATGTCGATGTAGGGCTAGCAGCAAAGAATGGTGAGATTGCACGCTTCGTCTACAACTGATGCGCTGTACATAACAGCTACAAGCGGTGGTGTTTGAGATTCATACCTCAGTGACCGTCCACTTCTGAAATTCCGCCATTATGAGGCTTGATCGGGGATTTTCGCGTTCGTATACTGTTTCGGGCAACTGGCAGACCAGCTAACAAAGTGGAAAAGCTTGCCTTGCCTGGATGGTGCCAAAGGATGATCTCTGCGGATCCGGTAAAGTCAAGTTGCGGTCAGGACGATCACGGCGAAAACCAACGGAACTGCTCTGAGACTGATTTTCAGAAGCTCTAGCTGTCACTAATGATTAACGACAGCCGTCGACAAAATGAGCAATGGTGATGGAGAAGTATTGAGCTCAAATCCAATAGTCTCTGTGACCGGCTACGTGGGATGTCAACGCCAAGACGAACCCCCACAACCCGATCTGTCTATTTATCCACTGCCTTTATCCATCGCGTCCACTCACTCGGTCCATTTCTCCGTAGGCTCCGTACTCTGTTCACTCTAGGTAAGGTAGGTGACTGTCAGTGGGCCAGCAGGCTCGATAGTTCGGTCTCCGGAGCGACAATCTCTGTCAGTCTTGTCTTAGCTTCAGTCCGGTAGGCTGCAGGTACGTGACGACAATCATCAGAGTTCTCAAAGGCTTCACAGTCACTGCTTGTTGGATGGTCGAGAACAATTTGGAGACTCTCTGACTGATACTCCGTTCGCTAACGGGAAATAGTTGCTTCCTGGGAGATGAAACTCTGCCTCTCATGACGGGAAGTCGGGACCTTGATCCTTCAGGAACACACATCCAATCAACTGGAGCGGTACCGAGACCGTTGCTAACTCAGTCCAGCTTATACCTATTCATGGGTTAATAACACCAAATTCTTGTGAGCTTCAGTTGAAACGATAACACAGGATCCCCGAAAAAAAAAGTGAGCAATCAGCTGTCATTCGATAGGAATAGAGACCGTTCATCAGTGATGGCAGAAACTCTCAGCGACCGAATTAATGGACAGCGTACACCATATGGCGTGTCAACTTTCCCAAGGAGGTGGCTTTTTGTTTGGGGTTGTCGGGGTACGGCAGACTTCCCGTCTTGCGCCTCCTTTGGCCCCATATCCAAATCCAGACCAGGAGTTAGCTCATCGCAGTGGAGAAACAGAGAAAAGTATCCTAACCAAGGAATTGGAGCCATGGAAGCAAATAGGAAGTGATCCGATCGGACATTATGGGGTCAGCCATCCTGCTGTCCAATGTCAAACTATCGCTTGTCCAGGGTGACAGCTGATAGTTTAGTGGGAACTGATAGACATCATCGGAGTTTGAGACAACAACTAACAAATCCTGGAACATTTCCGGCCTCTTGTTCCAGTTTCTGGCCTATGATATTGGATACAGAGCATCCATTCATGGCTCAGGCACGCAGAGTTCTCAACGGCGGTTCGCCGGTTTGCTTATTTGTTTTCAACTCAAAATGCGGGGGCGTCAAACATCTGACGCACAGCCGTTGCCAGGACATGTCACTCTGCATTATTCGCAGCATTGATCACCAGTTCTTGCGCCTCGAGGCGGCCTGTGTGCCGCGTTTGATTATCTCCTGCATGAAATTGTCGGAGATAGATCAGAAATGAGGCCTGGGCGTGTTCGATCCTTTAGCAGTTACCGCCCTAGGGATTTATGACCACCAGAAGGATTTCGAATGAAGCTGGGCATCACTATTTACTACTAACCTCTGAGTATCGCCGATCCACGTAATTTAATAAACATTCGCGGGTTATGTACCGACCTTCAGCTACTTCAAGCGGTCTGGCTGTGGATATCTTTACTTAAGTCGATTAGGGGCCATTGACGTCGTCTAATATACGCATACTCCGTACTGGTTAGCTTTCAAAGCTGACTCCTCTTTCCATCTGTTTCGACGATCATCAACGGGCTTGGAGATCATGTACCGGATGTCGGTTCAATCGAACGCCATGCATTGCTCCACGTCCGACCACTCCTTGCACCGTAGATACTTCGCAAAGTAAGCGGTTTTGCTCTCCTATTGAAAGGAAAAGTTAATGAAAATGGAATTTGCTGCGTACGGATCCAGCAACCTTATGCAGTGGCACTGGCCGCATTGGTTTGACCGGCCCAACGTCCAAGCTGCATAAGTCGTGCAACGGAGTGACGGGTCAGAGTACGGAGTAGAAAATGCACCTCTGATCGTCTGGAACAAGGTGGAACTAGGCAGCTGTCGCTGCCTGACAGTGACCTGCAATCTTAACTTGGAGAAGAAAATGTTGATCCACCACCGAGGCACCGACCGCTGCATGAGGCGGTCGAGAATCGACACCGCACATATGAAAATGCGGTGAAGCTGTCAAACTGTTAAGTAACGACGGCTCTGACCGTTATGATGGAACCTGAGAGGTCATATTGACTGATCAAGTTTTATCCTCCGTAAATAGAGATATGACAGACACTCTCGTGGTTTGGTGCTGTAGTATGTGGGTAGGTAGTAGGTACATTGTCAGCTTGGGTTGAAATAGATAATGAATAACAACCACCCATGCTTTAGTTCACATGATTGACTCTTCATGCAGCTGCAAGCCTGCAAGAAAGGAGCGGAGCAGAGCACCTCTAGTTAGGTTAATTTAGCAGAGTCCGTGATGCGTTGGGTGTGCAGCTGCATTAGTTGCTAGCTGATTATCTGCGCTTACCAATTGGTACTGGTGTGTATGGTAACTTACAGTACCAGCGCATTTGTACCTTAAGGAAGATACCTAAGGTACCACTACATCCTACAGAGTACATCGACCTCACCAGTTGGTAGGCAATTAGGCAATAGATAATCAAAGTGGACACCAGATCTACCAGACCAACCACCTACTAAGAGCTACGGCTACACGTACACCTACTTGAGTATATGCATTTCATCTCAGCCAGGACTGGAGCACAGCGACAATAGCATCAGGATGAAGACCTACCTACTACCCATATAGGTACCCCTAGGCTAGCACAAGCTGCAGGTGCAACTGCGCCTACGCAGCGCAGCGCTGCCTTGCATTCCACACCCTGCATCACATCGCCTCGCACCGCATGCAAGGCAAGGACACCAATGACGAGTAACGACTTGCCACGACACTTCGAGGACCGTGGGTACGGAGTACACAATCCTCCAACCGGATCGACTGCAAAGTGAAAATTCCACCCGCCTCATTCGCCTATTGGCTCTGACTGGGAATATATACTGGACGTAATGCGGAGTATTCAAGGTTGGACGCAATTGGGTTATCTCATTTGGATTTCGTGCATATGCGCTACCTTACCTACGTTGTATGGAGGTTTGTTGGGCGTTGGTTGGGTATTAGGGTACAAGGGATGGGTGAGTATCCGCTGTAAATGAATGGAAATGTGCATTGAGGGGATGCGGTGCAGGTGCCTTGCGTTTGTTGGAGACTGGGTGGGTTGGTAGATGCTGGGAGATGTGGTTCGAGGACGGTTGCCTTGTTGCTGCCGGTGAGTTATTTTCTCTAGATGCTGCTGGCTGGTTGCGAGAGGGAAGAGCTGTTTATTGGGGATTTGATTGTTAGTTGACTACGTATCAGTGCCTATGTGAAATGCTGGATGATAGGAGTCGAATTGCACATGTAGAACCAGTTCTTTGGTTCGTCAGAAGTACTCCGTACAGAATCATATTGCTGGCTAAGATTCGTTGCTCATGTCATACCTACAGCTTGGTTCCCAGGTTGACGTGAACGGCCTTGATCTGTGTGTATGCCTCGAGACCCGCCTCGCCCAGTTCCCGACCGATACCGCTCTGCTTGACGCCGCCGAAGGGGACACGAAAGTCGCTGTCATTGCTGCTGTTGATCCAGACCATGCCGGCCTCGATCTCCGAGGCCACGCGGTGCGCCCGCTCAATGTCCTTGGTGAAGACAGCCGCACCCAGCCCGTAGGTTGTGTCATTGGCCCGAGTGATGGCCTCCTCCTCGGTCTTGAAGCTCGAGATCACCACGAATGGGCCAAAGACCTCTTCGCGGTAGATGCGCATGTTGTCCTTGACGTTGGTGAAGACGGTAGGGGCGATAAAGAAGCCCTTGCCGTCCTTGACGTTCTTGTAGGGCTCGCCGCCGGCAACAAGGGTGGCGCCCTCACTCTTGCCAGCCTCGATGTACGAGAGCACCCGCTCATACTGGGCCTTGGTAACCTGGGGTCCCTGGAAGGTGTCGTCGGCGAATGGATCGCCAACCTTGCTGGTTGTGGCCACAGCTTCCTTAAACAGAGTCACGAATCGATCATAAACGGACTCGTGAACAAGGATCCGCGAGGTCGCAGTGCACACCTGTCCCTGGTTGTACATGATGCCAATGTGCGCCCACTTGGCTGACTGTTCCAGATCCGCGTCATCAAAGACCAGCAGGGGAGACTTGCCACCAGTCTCCAGGGTGATGTTCTTCATTGTTCCGGCGGCCATCTTCATGATCTCGCGACCGGTCGCGGTCGACCCGGTAAATGCAACCTTGTCCACATCAGGGTGGTTCACAAGGGCGCTGCCCGCGACTCGACCGAAACCATTCAGAATGTTGACCACACCCGGGGGGAAGCCCGCTTCCTTGATGAGAGTGGCCAGGTAGAGAATACTAAGGGGAGTCTGTTCTGCAGGCTTCATCACGACGGTGTTACCACACGCCAGGGCAGGGCCAAGCTTCCAAGCGGCCATGGCCAGAGGGAAGTTCCAGGGGATGATCTGGCCGACCACACCGATCGGCTGACGAAGCGTGTACGCAAATTTCGCTGGAGTGGTGCTGATTGTCTGTCCGTGGACCTTGTCGGCCCATCCGGCACAGTATCGGATGGTGTTGATGACTTCTCCGAGGTCATCGTTAAACGCGACAGAGTATGGCTTTCCTGAATGATGTCAGGGGATATTCAACCCGCAGGCAGACAATGAAAGCATACCGTTATCCCAAGTCTCAATAGTCGCCAAAGTCTCCCGGTGCTGCTCAACCAGATCCGCCAGCTTCAACATCAGGATCCCCCGATCGGTAGCTGGCAACATCTTCCAGGAAGGATCCTTAAGAGCCTTCCGGGCCGCCTTGACGGCGATATCGACATCCTCTTCCCCCGCAGCATAGACGGAAGCAATCTCCGACTCGTCCCTGATCCGTCAGTCAGCCTTTCGAGCCGCTCTAGGGGGCCACAAACTTACGAGGGATTGATCGTGGCGAGCTTCTCGCCTGACTTGGACGGAACAAACTCATTGTTGATGAATAGACCAATGGGCTGCGAGTACTTGCGCCCGTTGGGAGCTGTCAGTTGAAGCACAACGTCCGACATGATACGAGTGCTGTGGAAGTGTCGATGAGCGAAGGTGGGATTGTTGGGGATACTACGGATAGTAGAAGGGATTCGAAGAGGAGGAGTAGTAGTAGTAGGATGGAGATAGCGCAGGCGCAGTCGGAGGAGAAAAGAGGGGATGTTCATATGCAGCATTCGGAGCTTAGAAAAAAAAGGTGCAGCGAAGAAGCAGGGTGTATTTATTTGTGCATGCAAGAACTGACAAATTATTCGGTATGATCCAGACAGTCAGCTTTCCCCGCCTGCCGATAACCAGCTTGTAGATAGCTGCGTAGATAAATCTCTCTCATTCGATAAAGTCGCCGCGGCCAAGTGGGTTTCTGCTGGACTTTTTCTGGGCCGTCCTAGTAACTTCGGATACACTTACTCTTCCCAGGCAAACAACCCTTTGCCGGAGTTGCCTCCAAAGCCTCGATTTGTTCTTCTGACATATTGGCAGCATGCCTCACGTTCAACCTGGCTTACGGAATGATACAATAAAATGCCCATGATGCGAACCTGTCGCATTCAGTACTAGATAATGACCTATGAAATGTACAAATGAAATACCCCAATGATTGATGCACCCTTGATTTATACCAGCGAGCCAAGACAAGTTCAAATACATACTCTTTATCATTTATTCCGCGGACTCCGACGACTCGCCCGCCAACCCCATAATGAACTTCCATTGTGCCGGCGTCACGGAGGAAACGCTGAGTCGAGTCTGCTTCAGGACTTGTAGATCCTCGAGAGGACCGCCGGGCTTCGCGTGAGCCTTGAGGTCATTGAGTGTAACCATCTTCTTGAATTTACGACGGAACTCGACGTGAACGACTTCCCATTTCGGGTTGTCTCTCTTCGACTTTGGGTCGTAGTACGGGTGAGCAGGGTCAAAGGCAGACTCTGTATGATGCGCCAAATTATACGTTAGCTATCGGGCTCAAACGCATGAGTCGGGTCCAAGACGAACCATCTGGTGTGTGCTCTTGGACGATCTCCATCATGCCTACGACTCCAGGCACTTTGCAGTTGGAGTGGTAGAAAAATGCGTAATCGCCCTTCTTCATCGCCCGAATGTGGTTCCGTGCTATCGTCCCGTAAGCCTGTATTCTGTAATGGCCATTTCCTCATATACCCTTACCAACGGGGTTCCGAACGCCTGAGAAAAAGTAAAGTCAACTCCGATCCGTCATTGCATTGTATTGAAAGGGCCAAGAATCCAGAGACTTACCATCCCACGGCTCTGGCTTCTCAGCCGCCTGCAAATCGTCAATGGAAAACTTGACATCCACTCCTTTTTCCATGCGCGACTCAGGCTCTGCCTTCATCAACCAATATGACCGGTCACTCTCCTCATCAGCAACTTTCGACTCTTCCGAATCTGAGTGTATCGGTTGCGATGCTGTCTCGGTTCCGTTCTGTACGGGGGTTTTCCTGGGTCTCCCGACTGGCCGCTTGGGGCCCTGGGGAGTTTCGGGTGCCGAATTTGGAGCTTCAGGCGCAGTTAGTCTCACAGAAGAATCTCAATGCGGCCGGCCCGTCTAGTCGATTGTTCCGTCCGGGCATCTTACATCTGATGGTCCCGTCTTTCCGGGGACGGCCTCGGCCTCTTTTGGGTCCCGGAGGAGGGGGTGGCTCCTGACCAGGCGGATACTTTCTGGGACGACCTCTTTTCCTGGGCTCTCCCGTGTAAGGATCAATTGCAGGCTATAAACGAAGAGTCAATATCAGTGCATGTTCATCCCAAGTTTTTATCGCCTCTTTCCGGTATCCTGAGTCAGCAGTCGTATTCCTATGGGTAGAGACAAGAGCCAGGACTGTAGACGGGGGTATCGATGGATTGATAACGATGCGTTCAAGCTGCCAAGAATTGCACATTCGCGGATTGACGGCTCGCATGACGCGCTGGGGCAGCTTGGACTCGACGGAGAGACCAGCGAAGAGGAAATCCGCATTGAAATTAGGCTTACGCACTCTCTTTGGAGGATTGCTATCGGCAGCGCCTTCGGACTTGCGCTTTCGGCCCATTTTATTTCCTTCCTGAAAATTGATGTGATGAGCTGAGAACTGTACTCAAAGACGTCGACGGGATGAGGGGAAAGGAATAATCAAAACAAAAGGAGAACAGAGGAAGCATCAGCCAGTCAGAAGGCAGGGAGGGGGATACTGTGACAAAGGACAGATGAGGCACTGGATCAGTTTTCTAGACGCGCCGAGACGCATAACAAACATCCAGTGCGAAACCTGTCATTGGGTGCGGGAACACCTGTGGGGGAGGGGGGAAAGGAACATGAAAGGGAGGAAGTTGATACTGGGAGAATAGCAATGGTAGTTGAACTCACCTGAAGGTATTCAGCACCTTTGTTTTCGTCTTATATAGTAAGTAGGAGGAGAAGATAGAATATTGGGAGACTACTACGGTATCGACAACACCGGTCTGGACACAGCTTGGATGGAAGCTTTACTCGCGCCTCCTCGGAAGAGACATGGGATTGACGGTCCAGCTTCAACGGGACGCGACGGACGGAAGCTCAAAGTGGGTCACGCTAATCGGTCACGTGATATATGCTAACTCTTTACGAGTCAGTCCGCAGTATCTCTGCAGTAGTATCTATGCAGTACTCTTGAATAGTAGGCTTGATCAGAGCAAAAGGTCAATGATCAGGAAATGAGAAGTCAGACAGAAAGAATGCAAAGGCCTAGTCATGAAGGCTGGACGCGCTTCCCGCGAATGTTCTTACACTGCTATAGGGTACTGCATTAGCACCATCGCTGGAACAGCCTCTTTTTCAACTATTAAATCATAGCCAAGGAATAGAAAGACTAGATGTGAGGTTTATCTCAATAACTGTCTTTTTTTGGCATCTGAAATGTCCGTCAACGGATCCGAATGCAGGCCTTCGGGGAGGAGGCGATCGTCTCATCTACAAGACTACAACAACATTCGAAACTCCTCACCGGTCTGCTATGACTGGATTAGCTCGATGGCGAACTCATGGCTCACAATCATTTCCATGCTATTTCTATGAAGATTCCTTGAGCAATAAACGACGAGCTAAGTACCGAAATGGTAGGCTCGAGCAAGGAAACTCCGCCTAACATGAAGCATGCGCCCCTTCGAGTTGATGAACGATCTGAAGCGATCGGTCATCCCTCCGAAGCAGACGCACTAAAGCAGGGACCGGGTTCCAGAGCCTGGATTAAGCAAGTTCGTGCTCCACATGGATTTTGCTCCACTCAGAGTGACAACCCGGGGAGGATCAGTTCATCGGTCAGTATGGCCGTCAAGTCTACCATTGTACCAGTACTATGACTAAGGACGATTCTCTGCTTTTGACTCGAGCCTCGATCTCCTCAATATCAGTCTTTGGATTATTCTCATCTGAATTGCCCGCGATTACGCTGAGACCTCGCAAAAATGCAACAATGAAAGCCCATCAAAAGATAGCCGTCGGCTATCGGCCCTAGGTCGAAGGAGGGGATCTCCGAGACAGTGAACGATCATGGTTTTTTATGAGGCAGATACTGCAGCAGAAGAGAAAGTGCTGCAGCGAGATTGCGAAGCGGCCGGGACTACTCCATCCAGATGTTAAATATGTGCACCTTAACTTCGGCACCCCACTGTTTTACCACGAGCATCTCGTCTCCGCATCCTGGGCAGCGGCTCCACTATCATTACGAGGTCTACCTCCAGTTCTATGGCCCATACATGATCTCCTGATGCCTGACTGCTATGGCTGCGTATACGGAGGTCGAGCAGACACTTCCATCTAATTAGTTGACGGCTAAGTGGAATGTGAGTAAGGCTGGCTACGACCTGCGTATTACTCTGTTCACATTCGGTTTGGGTATTGCGCAAATGATGCTGGTTATAGTCTCCGCAATCAATCGAGGAGATCTATATCGTCTTGAGCGTATTGCCATTATGATTCGTATGATTTATTCTCTGAGTAGAGAAGTAGGAGGCTAAGCTCACTCTACCGCAATATCCTTAAATTGGATGTGGAGTCACGGAGTCCCTTGCCAGCATGCTTGTTGCAAGGTCCTTCCTCAATGAAACTCGGGGTAGTGCGCCTTTGAGCCGTAAGGCAAAAGTCCTGAACCGGTACTACGATGCGCTAGAAGAATCTGGCTATCATAATGTGGCGTTCAGTAGGCATGACGCAAAGCTATTCGCCGAATCCGATGGAAGGTCGAGAGTGACTAAGAACACAAAACTACCGTTAGACGCAACGGCCTCCGTTGGCGCTCTATTTTGACAGTCCTGAGTTTCCATCAAGAGCAGTGGAGTAAGATGTCGGGAGCGACGGCTCTATTTGCCTGCATCGAGTCCATACGATTCCGGTCGGGTTATCTTCATGGGTTCTAGCCATTTATGAACTTCAGATTCGCTCAAGAAGCGAGTTTGAAAGCATATGTCACAAACTTTATCTACTTCTCCCAGCTTTATTGGTCCTTGATCAGCGCACAGGAAGCCATGCCCCAGCATTAGAGGTTCTCGACCATTTGACGCCAACTGCCCCTCATTGCCTCTGGATCGGTGACCGAGAAACTCTGGTGTGGGCCGCTGGTGCTCGGGATCGTCAATCTACGAAGTAAATAATTGTTGAAGGCCGTCTGTTGTTGCATTGAGTTGCTGCGTCGTGCACCGATTTTTCGACCGTAAATGCTAGGTATCATGCGGAGTAAGCATGCGCAGTATGACGGAAAGGGATGTCCTATTGCGCCATTTTCAAAGATCCCCATAGGCTCTGAGCTGTAGTTTTGTTGCTTGTCAGCCAAATGTCTCCTGCCAAACCCTCTTGAAGCATGATTGGCTGACGGGTCCTCAAAAGGACTGTACCTTTACGAGGCTACCATGAATAAACAGACTATGTATTGTTAAGCTTGGCAGTTAGCAGATAATCAAACTCGAAGCTGAGGGACGGCAACAAAGAGAACATTCCACGAGACTGCAGAGAGTGGCCATATCAAGAATAGTGCATCGTCAGGTACAAAAGCCCAAGTGAAATCCAATTGCAGTCAGCTAGAACCATGACTCAATAGGACGAGGTTGTAGTTAGGGAATTGAGGTTCCATTTCTCTTCAAGAGCCCCAGGCACCGAGGCATCCGTACCTTGGTAGCCTTCATGGAACGCTGGGCTGGCCTCATAATCCCCGAATACAGCAAGTGTGGGGCCGAACCCCAAGGAACAGAAAAGCACGCTAAACATCCCACCAAGGATGAGCTCATGTTGCACCAATCATACGCTTTCTGCCCTGCTGGCGGTGGTGAATTGCGTGATCGCGGAGATACAGGAGCCTCGCTGTGATTTGCCCATGGAGCATTGTAAGAGGACGATCTAGAGGGGTATCATTTGGCTGTTCGCCGTTTGGTATAGGAAGTGGACGACTATTTCTAGCTGATAAATCTCACTCATCCTTGTCGAGTTCGTCTTCCCATTCCATCTCTCACTCTCTGCTCAATCACCCTAAGCTTACTACCTATACCTCCATCTTCCATCTCTTCCATATACAGTCACAATGGCCCAGGAACGTGCTGCTCCGTAAGTGTGCCTGCATAGAATGACTATTTCCAAAAACCCTGTGTTCTTGAGAATCATATACTGAACATCCCCCCTCATTCCAACAGTCTCCGTCTCGGCTCTACTGCCCCTGACTTCGAGGCTGAGACCTCCAACGGTCCCATCTCTTTCCACAAGTTCATTGGCGACAGCTGGGCCATCCTCTTCTCCCACCCTGTTAGTACCCCCAATCTCCCAGATCACCGCACGCAAGGATGGTCAAATCGATGGAAAGAAACCAAACTGATCACCAATGGAATAGGATGACTTCACACCCGTCTGCACCACCGAGCTCGGCGCTTTCGCTAAGCTCGAGCCCGAGTTTGCTGCCCGCAACGTCAAGCTGATTGGTCTCGTAAGCTGAATCACGTCACCCCTAGTCATGGATAGGTTCGCTGACATTCCGCTAGAGCGCCAACGGCACCGACTCCCACAAGGCCTGGATCAAGGACATTGACGAGGTCAATGGCTCCAAGCTCACCTTCCCCATCATTGCCGACCCCAGCCGCAAGATTGCCCACCTGTACGACATGGTCGACTACCAGGACACCACCAACGTCGACGAGAAGGGCATCGCTTTCACTATCCGCTCCGTTTTCATCATTGACCCCGCCAAGAAGATCCGTCTGATCATGTCCTACCCCGCCTCCACCGGCCGTAACACCGCCGAGGTTCTCCGTGTGGTTGATGCCCTCCAGACCACCGACAAGCACGGCGTTACGTGCCCCATTAACTGGCTCCCCGGTGACGATGTCATCATTCCCCCTCCCGTCTCCACTGAGGATGCTAAGAAGAAGTTTGGCGATATTCGTGAGGTCAAGCCGTAAGTCTTGTCTTTCCTGGACGCAACATGAACGAGTCATGCTAATCAAATGGTATAGTTACCTGCGCTTCACCACTCTTAAGGAGTAATCTATTACTCGATTCACTTGCCTCCTTGGAGTAGAGAAGCAGCGGCATGAAAAGCTGGAGTTCTACCAAAAGGAACGGAACATGATGGCCATGACTTTGTCAAATGATCTTGCTTCTACTTTTTGATACCTCGTTCAACTAAATACATACATTTGCTTAATGAATAAGCTGGACCTTTATACAACAGTATCAATCTTCACATATCAGTGTATTTTTCTTTGCGTATAGTCAGAGGGTTAGTTGTTCGTATTTAGTGCGCGGTGCCTGAGGAAATGCATTCGACCCTATGCTTCTGGGTCTCATATTAATAATACGTACCCATGCGAGAGATATCCGAGGATCTGAGATCATAAAGTCACATGGCACAAATCTGTCGTCGTTCATTTGAGATGTTTGGCAATGCCTGTGAGTGGTGTTTCTGGCTCCCCAAATCGACCAACTAACAGTAGTACGTAAATAAACAGAAGCTAATAGCATCCCCACAGTGTTCTTCATCCATATATCATTGGATCGGCGGCGGTGCCTGACTGCCTGGACCACTTGAACGAGCGACCGCTTCGAGGCCCGCACAACACTAAAGTAGTACCGTATCACTTTCGTCGGCCCCCTCTTCCTTCCACATCGCTTCTTTCTGCTGACCGGTTTCCATCTTATTAGACTCAGAATCCCGAACGCAACTTGGATTGCAATATTTTCGACCAGCAATTTCGCCAACCTCCAGCTCTGTTTCGAATCCTCCGGGGGAGTAAGGGCGGGGAACGACCAGCCCCCGTCCCACTCACTTGCCTGCCAGTGCCCGCCCGCCCCTGATCTACGCAGAAAGAGGTCCCGGTGACGATCTGGACGACGACCGATTTGTGTTCTCTCTCTGCGGTTTGACGTCGATTCTCCATTTTCCATTCGATCGCTGTGACCGGCCGGAGTTTCGAAAGTGTTATGTGACCTGGTTGTTTTCGCGACTCATGTACCACGGGCTGGAAATATTTTGAAATAAAACTTCTGAGATACCTAGTACCTACTGAGGGAACGAATCGATTAAGAGGGTAGAACACGGAGAAGACGAAATCAGGCCGGCCGTTTCGCTCGAATCGGGTTCATGATGATGTCAAGAAGTCAGTCAAGTTTGGGTTACATGGATACGGGCAGGGATGAACCCTCCACGTCTGGGGCCTCTCCAGGATATCAACCGCCGCCATCTACAGCCGGACCGATCAATCTGTCGGGATTAGTCTGCAATGTACGCCGCACGACAGGCAGAGAACCACACCCGCTGGTGGGAGCCACCACCACTATCCTCGGCGACAAGCTCTACGTGTTCGGAGGCCGCGTTCTATCGAAGACTCGCCCGCAGCTGACATCGGACCTATATGAGCTGGACTTGATCCGGCGGCACTGGACAAAAATCGAGGCCACCGGCGATATCCCGCGCCCGCGGTATTTTCACAGCGTATGTGCTCTTGGTGATAATAAGCTGGTCTGTTATGGAGGCATGTCACCTGCACCGAATGCGTCCAAGGAGTCTGCGAGCAATGGCGCGTCAGGGCAGGAAGCGCAACCGGAAGTTGTCGTGATGTCAGATATTCACATCTTCGACGTACCGTCTCGGACATGGACGAGAGTCCCCGCTACAGACTCACCTCAGGGTCGATACGCTCATTGTGCGACGATCCTTCCGTCGAGCGCCTTTTTCACCTCCGCTAGTGCTCCACTCTCCGCTATTCACCATAACCCCGCATCATCCAACCCCCATCAGGGCACCATTGGAGTCGACATTGATGGATTTGGCGGTGCCGAGATGGTAGTGGTAGGAGGACAAGATAGTTCGAACCACTATATCGAGCAGATCAGTGTGTTCAACCTCCGCAGCTTGAAGTGGACGAACACAAGCTCTCTGGGAAGAAGCTGCGGCGCCTATCGCAGTGTCGTTGCGCCGTTGATCGGAATGAATGTGGCAGACATCGGGTCTGCTGCCGCCGACCAGGAATCGCAGGAGCCGGTGGAGGAATCGGAAGTGGAAGGGTGTCCCATGCTGATTTATTCCAACTACAACTTCCTAGATGTCAAGCTGGAGCTCCAGGTGCGTTTGCCGGACGGTCGTTTGATTGAGAAGCCAATGCACAGTGCAGCATCGCCCCCTGGCTTGAGATTCCCCAACGGCGGTGTGATCAACGGCCATTTTGTTGTCAGCGGTACCTACTTGACCTCTTCCAAGCAGGAGTATGCGCTCTGGGCGCTCGACCTGAAGACTCTCACATGGGGTCGGATTGACGCCGGAGGGTCTGTGTTTGGTCATGGCAGCTGGAACCGTGGAGTGCTATGGGCGAGACGGAATACTTTTGTGGTTCTGGGACACCGAAAGCGGAGTCTGGTCGAGGATTACAACCACCGTCGAATCAACTTCTCTCATGTCTGCATGGTCGAGTTGGAGGCCTTCGGTTTGTACAACAATCCATGCAGAACCGCGCCCACTTCCGGGTACATCTCCCACAGTGCGCCTTCAGTTCCTGCGTCTCTACAACACAAGTTGACTCAGTTGACATCGGGTGGAAGGCCGTTCTCGCCCGCTTCTGACGAGCTGGGCAAACTTGCCCAGTCTCTTCCTGAAATGGCCGACATGGAGCTTCAAGCAGCTGGCGGAGAGCGGATTCCCGTCAACTCGCGGATTCTTTCTCGGCGATGGGGCCCTTACTTCATCCAACTTCTTCGGGAGTCATCCGACACTGGTGTCTCTGACACGGCAACCCTGCGTGGAGCGATCCCGATGTACCCCAGTCGAAACTCAAGCATCACCATTACCCCCTCGATAGGACAAAACAGTTCCTACTCCAGCGCCAGCACCCTTGTCAGCAACCACTCGAACCCTTCCAAATCTTTGTTAGCGAACCTTGAGATACCCTCTGCTCATACCTTGACCCCTACCTCTCGACCGCGTGTTTTGTACCTCCCCCACACCTTCCTCACCATCCGAGTCCTCGTCTACTACTTGTACACCTCATCGCTCCCACCCGTCGGATCCTCCCTCTGCACGCCCCAAATCCTCTGTTCCCTGCTTCAACTCGCTCGCCCCTACCAGGTAGACGGCCTCCTCGAGGCGACCGTCGAACGACTCCACCAGATCCTCGACGGTCGCAACGCCGCCGCCGTCTTCAACGCAGCCGCCATGGCGGCCGGCGGCGGCAGAGGCACCGGCTTCATCAGCGGGCCCGGCGGCACCCTCGAGGCATTGAATGGCGCACACGCGGCCGCCAGTGAAACCGCTAGCGCCGGCGCCGGCACCACCACAGGCACCGACGCCTCGCAGAACAGCCACCTCACCTCCGACTCCTCCGACACCGAACACGGCACCACCTCTGTCACCAGCGGCGGCGGCGCCACCAGCGCGCCCTCCTCCCGCGGTATCCCGCTACGAATCAACACCAACCTCTTCGGCCGCAGTCACCACCGCACCAACCGCGACCGCGAAGACTCCATCAGCAACGCCAGCACCGCCACCTCCGCCTCGAGCTACGACCACTCGGACTCCGAATTCACCGGTAGCGAGTCGCAGTCGCAGTCCCGTCCGCGCCGCGTCCGCCGCGACACAGACGCCCAGCTCCGGCCAAACAGGGAGATCTGGACGGGCGATCTGAGTAGTGTCATCGGTCTTCAGAAGCGGGGCCTCCGCGGCCTCATGGAGGGCCGAAGACTGATGAGAGAACGCAATGCTAAACCCGGAAGCTCCGGTGGTTTGACGTCTCTGCCTGCGACTGCTGTAGATCAGAGTGCCGCTTCTGGGGTATAGGTCTGATTGCTTCTACTGTTGTGTTGAGTTTTGGTATGTGCGACGATGATCGAGTACAAGTATATAGAATGCATTGTGTTTTTGTGCCATCATCCAGATAGCTGGTTTCGTCTCTCGCTTGACTTGTGACCAGTGATAGCCGGTCCGGTCTACTAACGTATGGATGGACACGTTCGGTGTTATCTCCCACTCCGCTTGAACAGAAAATGCATAATGATCCTAACCTTCTATCACCTAACAATCTCAATTGCATGCTAGGAACAAATATGAACATAGAGCTTTGGAAATGAGACAGCCTCCACCAATCCTTCAAGTAAAATTCAGGGATAGGAAAATACAATACAAGACTTTGTGCTAGATCGTCAATAATGAGGGCGAAAAAGAAAAGACAGACATCACTGCCTCGAAAAAGACATTTGTGAACTTGAAAGAACCCACGCTTCCCAGAGGAAGATCTGTTCACGCTTGACTGCGAGTCCGTCGTCCCCGAGCTCGTCGACTGTCAGAGTGCGCAGCTTTTGCATGGTCGCCTTTGGTATTGATCGCCTCAATGTTCCTCGCGGAGCTAATGACATGTAATCGTCGTCAAAGGTGACTGGCTGGGGAGGGCCAGAGGGCAGATTGGACACGAGGGAGAGCGCGGGAATGGCCTCTATAATACTAACTCCAGCGCCGTTGCCGTTACTATGCCTGCTACTGCTACCGTTCGTGTGGTCGGCGGATTGTGTTTGTCTGACGTAGTCGATTTCGCGCAGGTCTATACGTTCCAATTGCTCCGTCTCTTCACAGAGGCAGGCTAACACGTCCCGCCAGCGTCCGTCTCGAAGGTGCACATTGATGAGCCTGATGTCACGAATCTGTCGCTTGTGTTGAAGGACTATTGTGATGATGTCGTCTGCATCCAGGCACCAACCCTGCAGGCTGACAGTTTGGAGCCGTTTCCATTGGACGCGATGAAACATCTGTTTTACCGGGAGAAATACAGATCCGTTGCCAGGAACTCCGAAATGGACGGCAGTCAGATTTCGAGCCGCCCGGAAGAAATCATGGAAGACGCTAGACACCTTTGACATTGCAGTGGCCATCCCAGTGTACGACTGGAAGGTGATATCCAGGCTCAGCAATCGTTCGCCCAAGGCGGAGAACATCATGGGAGGAGTTTGCAGTAGCCTGATCATGGAATCGGAACTCATTTGAGGCCCAACAAAGCGAATGGAGTTACAACTTGATTCCAGAAGAGAAATCGCCAGATTTGTGACTGCTCGAGTGCAAGCGGGCTCCCATTCCAGAATGGTTGATCGTTCCATCGGGCGCCCTTGAGTGTGTCCCATTAATATCTCGTCCGCCTCGTCCTGTAATCTCAGTAGTTTGACCTGCTGAAGACCCGAAAACGACGCTATTGCACGCCGCAGCAAGAGAAGATCCTGGTTTTCCTGGACGATCTGTTGTTGGTCCTGCAACCGATGTTTGACTGTGTTGAATAGTGAAGGATCCGTCTTTTCTATTTCAGTCAAGATTAACGGCCAGCCTGGAAATCATCAGCATTCTTCAATACTTGTTGGCGTCGAAGAATCTTCAGTTACTGTACCGTTTTCTGAATAGAATGGTCGCACCATGTAAGTGAAATACCTCACATGACAGGCTAGTTGCATAGTCAAGAAATCTTCCAATCGTCCAAATTCATTCCGCGAAAACCGCAGGACAAATCGACGGAATTTCCTTGGAGCGCCGATTCGCCTGAATCTCTTGCATACAAGTCTGAATCGATCCAAGTCGGACTTCTCCCCATACAAATGAATGCGCGCATCACCAGTGCATTGCGAGTTATGCTGATAGTACGTCTGAGATGCTCCTTTTATCGGAGGATCCAACTCTAGGAGGAACGAGAGGATTTCACTGAGCAATTCGTCCGCCAAGTCGCAAATATGTCGCGCGTCGTTCATGCTGTTCGCACAAGGAGGCAGCCGCATATTCAACTGCTGTGACGAGTCGCAGTGACACGGAAATCAAGCCTAGTACAAAATGAGTTGCAAGCGGCTGCGCGACTTGCTCGATAATGCGCGAAGAGTCAGCATGGGGATCGATTTGGGTATATATAATGGGAATAAGAAAAGACTCCAAGATCAGGGAAAAGGAAGGACCAGAGAGAAAGACGCCAACGATAAAAAGAAAAAAAACCAGAAAAAGAAAAGAAAACCGAAAGAGTAAAGACGACGAGGGAAGGAATGCATGCTTCTCTTGCAGTGTCAGTCTTGTCTAGGCTGGAGAGCAGACAGACGCCGCAGATGCCACTGCGTGCATGCAGCAAGTTGACATGTCTGACGAGGGTTAGAGCAATCCAGCCGGACTACCAGCCCGTTCGACTGGGATCATCGTCAACAATAGTGACACTTATGGTGGACTTCTACCCTGCATGCCCTTCTGTCATCAAAATTTCCCGGTCCTCAAGGACGACTGGATATTGGTTCGCTGACTGGCACACAGCAGTCACATGATTGAAAAGGCATGCGGTTATCCAGCGCGAACCTGCAGGAGATTTGGCAGAGACGGAGGACGAGTGGCTGGGAGTTGAGAGGAGTCCCGATGAGTTGGCAGGACTAAAAGGAGTCCAGGAGGGGAAGAAGAAGACGGAAGTGATCATAAGAATAATGATTGATCCGATGATGCGACAGAAGAAACAGCCGGCCGAGTCAGGATCTCTGCTAAGGCCGTCGTCGCCCTTAGTCCAACTCTGTGCTGCAGACGCCCACCCCCGCCCCTGGGCAGCAGAAAACGAATCACCGCGCTATCAGCTGCAGGTCTGGGTTGTTTCTGTGACCGGTGGGAAAATCAGCGTGACGATTCTCTGCCTTTTATTAGTCCTGGAAGCGCGTCGAGGAGCAACACCACGGCAGATTTCATGCACAACGGGGTTGAGGTTATGGTGGGACAATGTCATTGCTGTCCTCCCTAACAATCCTGACCGACCCGCTGAATCTGGCTTCAGAAGAAAGAGGGAAAAGAATCCATATCAGCCACTCGATTTCCGTCAGAAAATAAGTCTCTCGCGTTTTGAGTCTTTCCTGTGGAATCCAATCCATCATGCTACAGAATGAATCAAGGAGGGATATCGTCAGACAATGAGGACGACAGTTCCTCTTTTTCCCGGCAAGCATGGGGGAAGGCACTAAGGCAGCTAAGGTCAACACTCGGTCACTCAGACCCCTTCTGAGCCATATTGATCAGAACTGCTCTTTCCATGCTCCATAGGACATGGACATTGTCAGGTGCCTATCTACGAAACTCCGGTTTCCAGTTTAACAGCGCCGCAATTCGTCATCTGTCCTTCGGAACGTCCTCGTCTCTGAAGGTCTTGAAAGCAGGATATTCAGTCCAAGTAGGTTCTCAGAGTCTGGCTGATTAACATAACTAATCTAGTTACTGAGCCGTGGCCATTTCCATACGACGCCGTCTGATATCTGTACTGCTTATTTTCGACGCAAAGCTTTCGCCATCGGTTGTGGGAACCTCCCCAGAATGTAAGACATCTATCTCGAAGACATCGAGGCTTTTCCACCCATTCTTCGCTCGCTCGTCATTGACAGCTGCACCTCCCGAGCGAGTTTCCGCCGACACCACGAGAGCATCGATGCTTTCATCGGTGATCGTGGGTCCAAACGGGTCCGTGATTTGTACCAATTTCAGCGTCAAGCCACAACGGACCTTCATTAGCACATAATGGCCGTTGGGACCCGGCTGTGATACCCGCTCAATGCGCGGCGCACTTTTTTCCGGACGGCTGAAGTCCATAATGGCCAAAAGGAAGGACGAGGTGCTCTGACATCGGTCATCCCAGCTCTCCAGAAATTCAGCATACTTTTTGTTCTTCAACAATGCATCTCCTGTAACGCCCACAGTCAGATGTCGCTCAGGGATCGGATCAAACTCTTCCACGGGTTCCAGAGCCAACGCAGTGGCAGTGAGGAGAAGCTTATGTCCAATATGGAAGTGATCAAATGTGCCCCCTACGGCAACTGAATAATGCGGCGATTGAGCCTTAACTTCGGGGACTATCAATGTCGTGGGAGAGGGCCAGTCGGGTTGATTTGAGAGTGAATGCAAAGAACCAGCGTTCGGATCTTTGTTCTTCGAATAGATACTATCAAACGCTGTTGCTAGCTGCTGACCTGCTTCGTTTCCAGGATAGTAGATCCAGTCCCATAGTCGCGAAGAATTCGCCAGCGATGGCAAATCGAGGATCGGTCCATGTCGTGGAGTCTGACGATCCTCTGCCGAGGTTGTTGGGAAATCAATAAAGATTACCCGAGCATCAATGCCACCAGGGGCATCCAGCTCAATGCTGTGCTCCGCGCTGACAATTCCGATCAGCCTGTAGATATTTGCCAAGTAATGTTGAAGGCTTGGGAAGATCTTCGCCCGAGGTTGAGAGCTTCGTGAAAGTAGACCCGGTATGGAAATAGCGATGTCTAGAATTGCAATGCTATTAACGCCATTAAGCGTCTTGCAGAGTTTGGAAAAAACAGTACACAAGGTCGGTTCATAAGCATCTTTGAATTGTTCAAACTTGACAGCCGGGGGAGGAGGGAGAAGCAGCAGAGCTGCGATCTCCTGGGGACCGTCATCGGAAGCCATTCTGAAAGGAATTGCGGGGGGTTAGACGAGGGGAAGATCGCAAAAGGAAGACGGAGATAGCGCGACAGATGATACACGCTGGGGGGTTATATATGCTGAGGAATTCAACTGAACATTTTTGAATAGACTTCTTGAACCAGCGAATAGCAGAGAACTAAAAGACAGGAACGCAAGTCCTGTGTTACCTCCGAGCAGGAGAAGTATGGCCGTCGGTCATGTCTCCTTCGAGAGACTCAACTCATCATCACGGCTGACTCAGCAGCACGAGACTCCTCCGGCGACTCTGGCGTGTCTCATCCTCGACCTGTTGCTGCCCAGTCGTTGCCATTCAGCTTTTCTTTACGGTCCCTGTGGGTTTCTTCGTACACTCCATGATGTGCTTGTGAAACACTACCAAGGTGATTTTTCTCTGATATGATCCCATACTGCAACACATAGGCTTGGTGCGGTCGGAGCTCCATACTCCTACCTGTACATGTCTCTCTCTCCCTCTCTTCACGGTAAAGTCATCTGCTTACCATGCTCTCAGAACTAGTCACCGGCGAGAACCTAGTGGGAGCTTTGGTTGTAGCGCAAGAACGTTGCGTACCGGGAAAGACGTTCTTCACGGATTCCTCAACGACTGAGCTGCAACAGCATGTCAAACCCCGCGCAACCCTACGAGCCCTCTCGACGGACGACCGTCTATAGCCGCCAGCCAGAGGAGCTTCATATCCCGTCCGGGGCCCAGACCAGTGCAAATATGCAGCGCCAATCCATGTCTCACGAATTATCGGCAGCTACTGAGCCCCCAATGAACAATCTCCCTTCCATCAACGTCCAGCCTTCGAGCGCCCAACCAAGTCACTATGGGGCCGGTACCAGCAGTGGCAGCGGTGCTCTCCCAGGAGCACTTCAACCAGGGAACGTGAACCGTCCTCCAGCAGTGTCTATGAACACAGCGCCTTCTGCGCTCCCAACGCTTACTCAACTGTCTACTCAGCTGCAACCGCAGGCATCGCAACAGCCACCACAACAACAGCCACCGACGACCCCCCGTTCGGGCATGGTCAATTCGCACGGTCATTCCAGATCCAGTCCTTCAAACCTCGAGCAACCCAAATATAGATCGCACGGAGTGACAGAGAATTCCAGATATGCATCATCACCTGGCGCGGGTTTCCAGCCTCATACTCCGCAAGGAGCGAAATACTCCCCGCTTGGGTTGGCCGATATACGTCCGTCAGGGGATCTTCTGAGCGACGCACTCCACAGTCCGAGCATGCCGCCAATTAATGGAGATACTCAGGTTCCAACGAACAGCAACTACATCGCTCCTTGGCCCGTATATGCAATGGATTGGTGTAAATGGCCAATTTCAGGAAGCTCGGGCTCCTTGGGCGGCAAGATCGCACTAGGAAGCTACTTGGAAGACAACCACAACTATGTAGGGACATGTTCTACATGCTTCGTCATCGTTTGGATTCATTCAACTGCTGACTAGAATCCAGATACAAATCATTGATACCCATTTGACGCAACCAGACCCGGATACACCAGATCTCGCGCCGGGAGACATGAAAATAGAGTATGTCAAAACCGCGGAAGCCACACATTCTTATCCCGTCACGAGAATCCTCTGGGAGCCGCCCTCATCCCAGAAGCAATCGACGGACCTACTTGCGACGTCCGGCGACCACCTACGACTGTGGTCATTACCCACTACCCAGCCCTTGCATAGCTCCAACTCGATCACACGTCCTGCAAATCAGCGGGATCCCCCGACTGCCAAGCTTTCCCCCTTAGCATTGCTATCGAATTCAAAGTCTCCCGAACATACTGCCCCTATCACCTCTCTCGATTGGAATACGATCTCTCCCAGCTTGATCATCACCTCGAGCATCGACACGACATGCACAATCTGGGACATTCCTACGCTTACAGCCAAAACACAGCTGATCGCGCACGACAAGGAGGTATATGACGTTCGATTCTGTGCGAATAGCGTCGACGTCTTTGTTAGCTGCGGCGCTGATGGTAGTGTGCGCATGTTCGACTTGCGCAGCCTGGAGCACAGCACGATTATCTACGAGCCGACTGAGAAGAATGACAAATGTATTTCGTCCACATTATCCTGGATGGAGTCATGCTGACACGAGCCTTCTGTAGTAATGAGCCCTGGAAACGGTAGCCCTTCAGCTCCCTCCAATTCCGTCTGGCCCCCGCCTCTTTTACGTATTGCAGGTGTGTATTCTTAGGCGCGTGCACGATGCAGACCATACTAAACACAAATTGCAGCATCACCGCACGACGCTCATCTCCTAGCAACATTTTCTCAAGACTCCAACATCGTCCGCGT